CAATGAGGATGCTAGGAACAGAGCTCAAATCACTTGGAAAAGCAGTTATATGCTCCCTGATGATTAGTTTTAATTGTCAATTTGACATAATCTAGAAGCACCTGTTGCAAACCCACCTCTAGTGGTACTATTATTTAGGAAGGAAATTCTGAACTCCGAGAAAGGGAGCTAAACACCAGAATGAATGCTCTTGACTGGATGTGATGTGACAAGTTGCTTCACATTCCTATATCCTTGACAGAAAAGAATGTAAACTGGAATTGTGAACCAAATAAATCTTGTCTCCTTTAAGCTGATTTGGTCAGGGTATTTTATCACAGCCACAGAACAGGAAACTAACAGCAATAATTCCAGGGCAGAACCACTGTCCTCCTTTCTATTCTGAAGAGTCAACATTACAATTGCTTTGCATAGTAATTGTATTTTCTTTAAAAAGTTTTAACAATTTATTATTGTGAGTGTGCATGATGTACATGTGTAGGCACTCATACGTGCATGTATGGAGGCAAAAGGTCAACTATGTAGCTCAGTTCTCTCCTGTCTGGTTCATCAGTCAAGAGCACTGGCTGTTTTTCCAGAACTGGGTTTGATTCCCAGCACCCATGTGGCAGCTACTCATCTGGAATTCCAGTTCCAGGGAATCCAGTGCCTTCTTCTGGCCTCTGCAGGTACTGCACACGTTGTACACATAAATGCAGACAAACATTCATACACATAAAAATAAATCTTTGTGATATTTGTTTTTAAGCTCCATTGTTAACTTTAAGGTAAATTTAAATGTAAACTCCACCAACAAACTATCAGATAATCAATTTTGCTTTGACTCCCATAAAGAGAGAATACTCCCTGCCTTGCAGGATCAAATAAGGAAAGGTATAAAGTTTTAAAAAATACTCAAGCAGCCGGGTGGTGGTGGCACATACCTTTAGTCCCAGCACCTGGGAGGCAGCGGCAGGCAGATCTCTGTGAGTTTGAGGCCAGTCTGGTCTACAGAGCTAATTCTAGGACAGGCTCCAAAACAATACAGAAAAACCCAGTCTTGGAAAAACAAAAACAAACAAAAAAGAAACAACAAAAACCCAAAAAACTAGAAACAAAAACAAACAAACAAATAATGCTCAAGCTAGTCAAACTATGAAGGAAACAAAAGGCTCACAGTAAATGTATAGGTTCAGTGGTTACAGCCAAAGGCCCATTTTTAAGTAATAGGTGGCTTTATCTTAATTTTGGTATCATATATTTTAGAACATAGAGCATTTCAGAACTGGGAGGAACCAGGAGAGGCTCTAAGGAAGCAGTTTAAGCTTTATTCTCCTACTGTCAAAACAGAACTTTGATCTCTGGCTCATTTCTTTGGGCGTTAAAGCTGGATATAATAATGAACAAGACAAAGTTCTTTTTTTTAATAGCCCATGTAAAGTGGACACACAAAGGCAAACAAGCCCTTCCAATATACTAGCACTATTCACAATGAGTGATAACGACTGAAAGACTCAGTGTTCATTTTGCACAATCAAGAAACTAGAAAGATAATTCAGGTAGTGACCTAAAGTAGACTTTCAATTTTTAAAAAATTTTCATTAAAAACATTTTTGAGATACGTTCTCATGTAGCATATGCTGACCTCAGATTCACTCTGGAGACCAGGATAACCCTAAATTTCTGACCCTCCTTACTCCACTTCTGGAGTGCTCTGGGATATTGGTGGTGCTTAGGGTCAAACCAAGGGCTTCCTGCATAATAAGAAGGCACTTTATGAACTGAGCTGCATTCCCAGCCCAAGTTTTGGCTGAGACAGAGTATTGCTATGTAGCCTAGGCTGGCCAAGAATTTAGGATAATCTTTCTGTCTTAGCCTCCCAAGTGCTGAAATTATAGGTGTGAGCAACCACACCTAACCCTGAAAAGATAAATTTAAAAACCTGTCACCAAAAGGAGTGGTGAGATGGCTCAGCAGGTAAAGGTGCTTGCCATGAAGCCTCACAACTTAGATTTCATCGCTGGGACCCACATAGTGGAAGGAGACAACCACACGCATTCTAGATAAATTTAAAAAACAATTATTATCAGAGAATAAGCGAACCAACTTTCAAAAATTGTTTTCTGACTTCTACATGTACACTGTGGCATGCTTGCTTACACACACACACACACACACACACACACACACACACACACACACACTATACACACAACTCACACAAACAATAATTGAAAATTTTTAAAAAATTGCCAAGATAAAATTAATAGGTTCACTTCTTCTTACATGTTTTTGTTTTTTTCTTTTCTTTTTTTAAGATAGGGTTTCTCTGAGTAGCCTTGGCTGTCGTGGAACTAGATCTATATGTCAGGCTGGCCTTGAATTCACAGAGATCTGCCTGCTTCTGCCTCCCAAGTGCTGGGACTTTTTTCGTTTTTATTTTTTGAGACAGGATTTCTCTGTATTGCTTTGGGGCTTGTCCTGGAACTCACAGAAATCTGCCTACCTCTGCCTCTCAGGTGCTGGGACTAAAGCTATGCGCCATCAATGCCTTGCTCTTCTCATGTGTTTTTTGTTTTTTTGTTTTGTGCTGGGACTCTTATAGGTATCAAAACTCTTAGCCAGGTGGTGGTGGCACATGCCTTTAATCACAGCACTCAGGAAACTATCTCAAGACCAATTCTACTATAAAATAAGTGTTCTCTCTAGGTAGAAACAGGATTGCTGTAGGTTTGAGGATCTGGTCTAGCTAGTAAGTTCCAGGTCAGTTAAGGATAAATAGCAAAACTCTGTCTCTAACAAAAAACAACGAAAGAAAATTGTTGGATTGAGGAATGTCACTCATTTGATAAGGTATTTGTCTAGCATGTATGAAGCCCTGGGTTCAATTCCCAGCATCCCATAAACCAGGCACAATGGCACATGCCTTAATCCTAGAACTCTGGAGGTGAAGACAGGAGGATCATCAAGGCCATTATCTATGTACCATGTCTTTGGACAGCCTGGGTTACATGAGACTCAAAAATTAAAAAAAAAAAAAAAAAAAAAAAAAAAAAAAAACTGTTCACCAGGATCACCATGTAATCCAGGCTGTCCCCAAACCTGTTATATAGCCCAGGCTGACACTGAATACTTAATTATACTGCCTTAAGATTCCTGAATGCTACACTGCACTCGGGAGGCAAAGCAGGAGGGTCTCAGTGAGTTCAAGGCCAGCCTGGTCTACAGAGCTAGTTCCAGGACTAAGACAGAGAAACCCCTGACTTAAACAAACAAAAAACAAAAACAAAAACAAAAACAAAAAAAAAAAAAAAAAGAAAGAAATTAAATACATTTCTGTTTTGCTTTTTTGACAGTCTTGATGCTATTCAGGCAGCCTTGGCTTCATTATGTAGTACAGGGTAGCCTTGGACTCTCTAACTACCCTTAGCCTTCCAAGTGTTGGGATAATAGGCATTACTTTTTTGTTTGCTTTGTTTTGGTTTCGGTTTTTCAAGACAGGGCTTCTCTGTATTGCTTTGGAGCCTGTCCTGGAACTAGCTTTGTAGACCAGGCTGGCCTTGAATTTCACAGAGATCCACCTGCCTGTCTCTGCCTCCCAAGTGCTGGGATTAAAGGTATGCTTCACTAATGCTGGGCTTTTGTTTTGTTTTAGGCATTACTTTTTTAAAATGGAGGTTGCTGTTGAAATTTTTTAAAATTAATCTTACTGAGGCTGGCAAATTGACTCAGTGGTTACAACACGACTGCTTCCTGCTCTTCCAGACAACCTGAGCTCAATTCCCAGCAACTACATTAGGCAGCCCACAAATGTCTGTAACTCCAGCTACAGGAGAACCTGGTCTCTGAAGACATTGACACACAAATGGAATATATTCATATAAATGTTTACACAAATGGGAAACAAAAAAGCCCTTAATCAATTGTTATTTTTAAAGATTCATAGAAGAAAATGAAAAATCAAAAGACACAACAAAACCCACTGTTCTTTGCCCCTCACCCTGCTTCTTTTTTTTGGGACAGGTACTCTCCACATAGCTCTCTCTGCCTATCCTGGAACTCACTATGTACACTAGGCTGGCCCAGATTCTCAGACATCTGCTCGTCTCTGCCTCTCAAGTGCTAAGGTTAAAGGTGTGCACCACCATACCTGGATCTCCTTTGCTTTTTTTGAGACAGGGTTTCAAACTGTCAAGTACTTTAGGTTAATCTTGAACTCAGTATATGGGTAAGATAACCTTGAACTCCTGATCCTTCTGCCTCCATCTCCCCAGTGCTGGAATTATAGATGTATATCATCAATCCTGCGCTAAAAATATTATTTCTACTGAAAGAAACTCAGTCATCATTTGTTTCAGTAAACAGCTACACATATTGCTTGTTATTTGTTATTATTTGCTTGTTTAATTTTGAGATAGGGTCTTGCTATTATATAGTCCTTATTAGCCTATAATTCACCAGGTAGGTCAGGTTAGCCTTGAACTCACAGAGATGCTCTTGCCCCTATATCCTGAATAGTGGGCTCATAAGTGTGTGCCACCATACCTGCTGTTGTTCTTGTCTCTTAAGATTTCTAGACAGGCAATAGTAATGCACACCTTTAATCCCAGCACTTGGGAAGCAGTGGCAGGTATCTCTGAGTTGGAGGCTTGGTCTACAGAGAGAGTTCCAGGACAGCTAAGGTTACACAGAGAAATCCTGCCTCAAAAAAAACAAAACAACAACAAAATACTTCTCTTCCAGACTCAAGAAGACTTGACTTAATGGGTCTTTTTCTTACTTTAATAAGAGATATTACTCCACCATCAAACTGAACTGGGAAATACAAGTACTAACACTATGTTAATCCATTCCACAATTTTGGAATTAAATTATACTTCAAATAATTATATTTCTGAATTTTACCTTGCATACATTCTCTTTCCCATGTTCTTCCAACTCCAATGTGGTTGGAGTTTACTTCCTAAAACATTCTAAGATTTGTGTCTTTGAGCTAAATTTAGCAAACATAATATCATTACCTCTTTATCTTTTAGTCCCAGGAGCAATACTTCTTCCATAAGAGTGAGTCGGATATCCTTAGAGTCCCCAGGGTCTTCATTATCTGGACTCCTTTCTTGATTAGTATCTTCCTCACTTTCTACTTTCTTTTCAGAGCTCTTACTGACTTCAGTTCTACGTGTACGGTGAGTTAATGTGGTCATTCTCACCTGTTTATGGAGAGATGTGAAAACTATGTGTGTATTTTAGTTAAGTAAATATAAGTTCACAGAAGACCTACACATATACACAGACACTCTACACACAAGAAAATGTATAAGCACAAATACAGAAAGAGGTAGTAAATAGAAACACTGGACAACATGGTGTCTTTTTTCAAAACATAACAGCTTAAATACCAGAAAGCAATAAAAAAAAAAAAACGATCACCAGTAATTTAAAAGTTCATTAGAAATGACCACCTTTTTAATGTGCTTATTTCACTTACAACCCAGGAGTGAATTTCTACCACTGTTTCTCTTCTTTCCTAAAATGGGTCCCCAAGTTAAATAAGACGGAATAGCAAAATTTCATGAGCATGTGGCCCTGAGTACACATAATTTATAATTTCTATAAACAGTTAATAGCACATTATGAAACAAATAAAAATTATACATGACAAAATAATTATAATATTTTAAAATTATTGTGCTTGTATAATATTTGTGGATGCTTGTGCCATGTGAACCTGTAGAGGTCAGAGGACAACTTTTTGGAGCCATCTCTCCTACCTTTACATGGGTCCTGAGGACTGAACTCAGGTTGCTTGGCTTGTGCAGCAATTGCCTTTACCCACTCAGCCATCTCTCCATGCCCATGTTTTAATATTTTCTTTCTTTTTTAAAAGATTTATTTTTATTTTGTGTATAGGAGTTTTTTGCCTGCATGTATGTCTGTTTACTGCAGGCATGCCTGGTGCCTAAGGAAGTGATAAACCTACACGGTGGATGCTGGGAACCAAACCTGGGCCCATTAGAATATATGCTCGTAACCACTGAGCCAGTATTTTCCAGCCCAATATTGTCTTTTTTTCTATCATAACAACTCATTTCATGCATTCATTTTGGAAAGTATTAGAGTATAACACTTAAGTGAATATCAAGTATAGTAACTTAGCATCCTTGTTCTAGCTGGCTATCTTTCTAATACACAAACAGCTATAACAAAAACAAAACAAAACAAACAAAAAACCCAAACAACCAGCAAGACTGTTAAAAGATTATCAAATTCTCAAAAGAAAATGGGGTTGAAATGTGGCTCAGTGTTACAGTATATGTTAGTATGTACAAGGTCCTAAGTGCCATCCCCAGCAAAGGGGGAAAAAAATCAGAGCATACATCCTTTTTTATTCAGCATTATACTCTAAGTTACCTGTGATAAAGCTTAAAGTTAGCATATTTTATACAAATTTAAATATCAATTTCTATCATTAAAAACAAGTGCTTAATATCAGCAATTATATATTTTTTAGATCAAGAGTAGTATATAAAAGGTGCTATGGCTGCATTTAGTTCTATCTTGTAATAATTTTTTCAAACATGGCTTTCTGCCTCTGATCTTTGTTATTCTAGGGTTCTCTCCCTTTTCCTTTCCTCCCTAAGTGTTGCCCGGTCTTTGGAGGCCTACCAAAGACTGTGAGGCCTTACAGTGGATTTCTATCTCTACATTATGCATGTGTCCCATGGCTAGAACTGGCTTCTCTCTCAGCTATACTTTAACAGAATTTTATTTATACTTATTCCCTTATACTTACTCCCTTTAAATATATAGTCCCTCTTTTGTTATGGCTGTATATTAAACTTATTGAGGGATGGGATATTTTCATCTTGGGTTTTTATGTTCTCCATAGCAACTAGCACAATGTCTTTAACATTGTAACTGCTCAATAAATATATATTCATTAAAATGAATATTCAGGAAGGCATGTGAACATTAAAAATAGAAATACACACCAAGTGTCTTACAAATAATTCGTACAAGGGTACATTTCAAATATAATTTTTGGTGGGAAGTAGGATAGGTGAAGAAGGAACAGAACACGTTACAATGCCTTAGGGTACTAATTCTATTTGGCATTGAATCTGGGTTATTTCCAAACCTAATCCAAGAAACTTTACACTCTCGAGAAAATGGGGGCAAATTTCTTTGAGGAATTTACCATTTCCCCGTGGACCCTTATTAGTTAAAACACCTTATCTGAAGGCATGATGACCAACAACAAATAGTAAAAAACACCCTTTCTCTCTTAAAATAATGAGCAGTTCTGTTGGACGTTAAGAAGTGTTATTTTCTGTTCCTTACCTGACGTTGTTCCGGGGCTGCAGAGGGACGTAGGCTGCAGTTCGCACTCTATTTTTGGAGGGCACCTGTTTCCCTTACCCCAGCCCTAGTAGGTGAAAAACTTCTCAGCCAGGCAGAGAGCACAAACTTCCTGATCCTTCGATGCAGAGAGGGAATAACACATCAGCTTCCTTAGGATCACTAGGCAACCTACCTTAGTGTTTCTTCATTGGGCCAATCAGAACCCCCCAAGGTTGAGGCTAGCCAATCGGAGCTTACGAGGGGAGGCCCTGCCGGCTATTGTGTTGCGATCCAGACAAACATCACCAAAAGGAGGCAGGTTTGGGTTCAACCTGACAGCTGGTCAATCCAATGAAGGAACCTCGGTGGAGGCCAGGAAAGGGCTGCGCCCCACCCCAATGAAATTACCCAATCAAAGTATCCCGTGAGACAACAAATGCTGCCAATCACGAAAGGATTCTGTTGGCCAATTTCAGTGTAGCAGGTGTGTTTTTGTAGCTTTTTATATTGGCACGGATGGGTAAAAATGTTGGCATTCAAGCAATAAGCTAAGAGTAAATAACACACCCACACCCACCTGATAACTAGACTCTAGAAAAACCTGATCTGACTCAGTTTGTGGACGTTACCCGTTTTACACTGAACAGGATGGATGGGTACATTCCTACCACCACACACATCCTAATGTTATGGGATGTTATGGAACACTTCGATAATCCTGTGGCTACTGTACGTTTTGGAATATGGCTGCTGAAACTACAAGACACAAACTGATCGAGTTTTAGGTCTGCCTTTTCTGAAGCAAGGGAAATAAATGGCAAGGCTGGGACTAGGTTCCAGGTCTCTCATAAAAACAATAGCTCATGCTATCACTCAAAAGTTCTAAGTGTGTTCAACTCTTGCAAGATAAAACTTACCTAAATTCTATCAAAATTAATAGCTAATTAAATGAAAATTAGAAGCCATGAAAGAGCCTGCACACTGAATATCTTAATCATGCTAGTAAAATGCCAGTCTTTTTTATTAGTCATTACTTTCAGTCATCTTTTTGCCCTAAATACACACTGAATGTCATATATCATGTTAATAACACTATATCAAAATATCAAACATAATTTTAATAATACCAATTAAATGCTACAGTTTTAACATAAGTAAAAAGTGAATCCTTACAAAGTTTTAATGCCAGAATAAACATTTCAGAAAGGCAAAGCCTTAAAAGTTAGTACATATTTTAAAAAAGCTTTCTTTAAAATGGAAGGCAGATTCAGTGAATAATGAGCAGAATCAATGATGACATTTGTACTTTGGTTTAGTTAAAAGTTCCCTTGGGTAGGTCAGGTAAACACAATATAATAGTTAAAACTTTCATTAGCATAGTAACTATGTGAATCACAAAATAATTTTCAGAGGTACAGAAAGCACACTTTCAAATAATAACACAGCCTCTTTTAGTTTGAATGTTGAGAACTGTAAATATGCATAAGAAAAATAATTTTTAGATATGTTCCTTTGGTTCACTAACTCTCTTTCTTTTTGTCGCTGATTCTTCACTAGAAGATTCCGAGAAATGAAGGACCTGTAAAAATAAAACAACTATTTAGAGACTTTCCAGTTTCTTTTTTTTAAAATAATTTATTTTTACTTTATGTGCATTGGTGTGATTTTGCCTGCTGGTATGTCTGTATGAAGGCATCAGATCACCTGGAACATAAGTTACAGAACAGCTGTGGACTGCCACGTGGGTGCTAGGAATTGAACCTGGGTCCTCTGGAAGAGCATCCAGTGCTTTTAACTGCTGAACCATCTCTCCAACCCACCCCCTTTTTTGAGACAGGGTTTCTTTGTGTAGCCCTGCTGTGTTGGAACACTCTCTGAAGCCCAGGCTGGCCTTGAACTCAGAGATCTGCCTGCCTCTGCTTCTCAAGTGCTGGGATTATAGGTGCCACCATTACCTTGTTCTTTCTTGTTTTTGAGACAGTCTCGTGTGGCCCAGGATTGTTTGACCTTCTTGTCTCTCATCATTTACTCAGTTCTGGGATCATAGGAATATACTCCTACGTATGGTTTCATGTCGTACTAAAGGTCTAACATAGGTCTCCATGCATGTTAAGCAAGCACTCTATTAACTGAGCTACATCTACAGCTCAACATAGGCATTTTCTACTAAAATAGGATACCCAGGATATTTTTAAAGTACATTATTGACATACAGTTACCTATGAATAACTGCTAAAAGTATACTCACAAAAGGTAAGATATTCATTTGAGTTATAGATAGTTAAAAGGAAAAAATTATAAGATTGAATCATTGAAATAATTAAAAAAAATGAAAAGGGAATAAAGATTTTAACCACAATAGGAAAACATTTCACTTGGTGATCATGTAATGTTTCAATCATATTTTAAGGCATACAGGGTAGCTGAAGCCTATAATTGCAGCAACTGGTAGGCATATGCAAGAAGATTATAAGTTCAAGACCAGTCTCAGCTACATGATCTCACTTAACATGTGCATCATGTCTTGATAAAAATTAAGAGATTCAGTGTACCCATTTTCTTGTCTTTTTTTCTTTTGCAGTGCTGAAGATGAAAACCTAAGCCCTCACAAATGAAAGCTAAGTACAATACTCTCAGCTTCAGAACATAAGTTTGAATAAATGGAAGAATGAATTAGAGAACTTCTAATGACATTTTTTTATTGAACTTTCATTTTCTTGAAAAGTTAAAGTATAATGACAAATTGGATTGTGGTTCCTAAGAAAATATAAAGTATCAAGGTTTAAAACATTGAAAAAAATTAATTCTGGGAATATGGCTCAGTGGTTAAGAGGAAGACCTGCTCCCTCAGGACCTAAGTTCCATTCCCAGAACCCATGTCATGTGGCTCACAACCGTCTGTAAATCCAGGTCCAGGACATCTTGTTTCTTTGGCAGCTGCAACTTAGGTGCATTTATCCATGCAGAGACACAAACACATAAGTATCCTTTTTGTTTTGTTTTGAGGCAGGTTCTCTCTATACAGTTATGGCTGTCCTGGAATTCACTATGTGGACCAGGCTGACCTTGAACTCACTGAGATCCACCTGCTTCTGTTTCCTGAGCGCTGAAATTAAAGGCATGTGCTACCAAGTCCAGCTATGATGGGAGATGTCATTCTGTAAATATGTTTCTCATACTGGTTAATGAATAAAGTACTGTTGGCCAAAAGGAAAGAAAGATAGGAGGGACTAGGAGACAAGGAGGAAAGAGGAAGTAGTAGGGAGGAGTCAAGATGGAGAGTCTGGAGAGAGCAGGACGCCAGCCAGCTCCCCGGTAAGATGAAACCACGTGGAAATACTTAGTTAGATTAACAGAAATGGGTTAATACTTGGGACAGAGCTAGCTGATAAGAAACAAGTAACTGACCAACAACATTATATCAAATACAGAGTCTCAGTGTGTTAATTGGGGCTGGCACGGCTGCGGTAGAAGACCAGCAGCGGGAGGAAAAACCTAACTTGTTACATATGGCGCCCACGTGGCTAATAAGAACTTCCACTTAAAATTTAACAAAAGCTTAAAAAAGGGTTTTAGAAACAAAAAGAAAAAAAAAAAAAAAAAAAAAAAACAGAGACGAGCAAGGTTTCTTGGTAGCAGCATTTTTCTCGGTTGGACTCCGTTTTGCGAGAGACAGGCAAAGATTTTCATGGCTCCTTTAATTTCCTGACTCAGCAGAAGCAGCAAAAAAACCCACACGGCTTTAAAAAAAAGCACTGCTAACAATTTATTGGTGTGTACGAGAGCTGGCAATGGCAGTGACCACATCTCCAAGCCAGCAACATACTGCTGGATGGCAGTGCAAACCAAGGCGGTGAACACAGTAAAGGTTTCCCCTGCCATCTTTGATAAACCGTGTCAGAAACAGCTATTACTTTCATTTTAGCAATGTTCTTGTTTACCAGATAAAGACTTGTGGCCAGAAAAAGATAAAAGATTTACAGTAAAGACAGATTCACATTAAGAAAAAGCACTAAAGGTTTACAATGTGTTCTAAAATATACATAGGCTTGGAAGAGAAAAGGGATAAAATGGTTTAAAAATAAAAAGAACAGCTGGGGTGGTGGCACAGCAGATCTCTGTGATTTTCAAGTAAACCTGGTATGCAGAGTGAGTTCCAGGACAGATAAGAGTTACACAGAGAAACCCCTGTCTCAAAAAATAGAAAAGAAACAGAATGATAAAAAAAGCCACAGATGGAGAGAATCTGGATACTGTACGGTATTATACTGTCTTTGTATCTTTTGACTGCTGAGGAAATAACTGTTAAAACAAATGCTGCTGGATCAATCCAATTTATATATCTTAAAAATGCTTTGACTCCAAAATTTAAGTCTAAGGACAAGTTACTGGGGGAAAGGATTTCTATTTTTATTTCCATAGAAAATGAAAAGCTGTGGATTCCTTCCAGACTAATATGGTTTGATCAAGCAAGACCCCCTGAAACAGTCGCTGGTGATCCAACATTCAAAACAGCTTGAACAAGGCAGCCTTGCAGACTACAGCCAGGATTTGTGTCTTCTTAGGATCCCCATGACAGCGCCCCCTATCAGCAGGAAGTAGTTTGGAAAGAATGACGCCCAAATTCCCAAATATTGTTTATAAATGTTTGTTTTCATTTAAGTGGGCTTGGTTATAAATGGTTAATGACCACACCCAATCTTTTTAAAGGTAAAAAGAGGATTATTGTATAGATATGAATACTTGTTTTGGAATGGATTTTCATTTACTGATATAAATTTTGGTTGTGAGCCTAGCCTTTAACGGCTGAGCCATCTCTCCAGCCCTACTGATATAAATTTAAGGCCAATTTTGTGATATGTATATTTCTCCTCTTGTTTAGATATTGTGATTGTATAGTTCATTTAGAAATGTATAATCTAGTACATATAATAGATAGTTACCTATAATAGTCAAAACTTATAGTGTTAGTTAGGTTTTCTAGATATATAGAGATGTATTTGAGATGGATAGGCATTCTTCAAACTTTTCAAAGACCTACAGAATATGGCATTTAAGATGGTTTAGGGTTTTTCTTGACAGTGAGACATAAATGCTCTTGGCAACACCACCTGCGTCAGAAAGAAGATGGACATGGAAGAAATGCATTTTTGAGTTTACTTCCAATATGGCAAGACTAGCCATGTGGACAAGATAATGCTCTTGCCTGGACTATTTGACTTTATGCTGTATAAACTGGACATGCAGGACCCACAGAAGTGACTGCTGATTCAAGATGGACATTGCTACAGAGTTCCTGCTTCATTGAAGAGTCTGCCAGATAGTCTGCAGGACACAGAGAAAAGTGACTGACAAACTGCCAATACAGGTGGACAGTTTAAAGTTTCCTGCTTTGCTGAGGAGTCTGCCAGACACACTATGGCCTATAGGCTGAAGAAGGAACATTACAGAAGAACTTCTGGTGAATGACCAGGCAGTGAGTTGTCTCTCATTTCTAGAGTTTATATATTATCCTTCTGTGGTCTTTGCGGGAGTTGAAGACAAATAGTTATGGTTATAGTTTTCCTTAGTTAGGATTAAAGATAAGTTACACAGACTTTAGACACATAAAGATAGGATAGATGATGGAATATTTTCTTAAATCTTGCTAAATATTAATGGACTAAATATTGTTGTGATTCTTATTTGATAATTGTTGTGTGATATATTTTGCTTTGTTAAGGTTAAAACCCTTCTTTTTATTTAGACAGAAAAAAGGGGATGATGGGAGATATCATTCTGTAAATATGTTTCTCATACTGGTTAATGAATAAAGCACTGTTGGCCAATAGGAAAGGAAGATAGGAGGGACTAGGAGACAAGGAGGAAAGAGGAAGTAGGAAGGAGTCAAGATGGAGAGTCTGGAGAGAGCAGGACGCCAGCCAGCTCTCCAGTAAGACCACGTGGAAATATATAGATTAACAGAAATGGGTTAATAATTAAGAAAGAGCTAGCCGATAAGAAACAAGTAACTGGCTAACAGAATTATATCAAATACATAGTCTATGTGCATTATTTGGGGCTGGCGCAGCGGGACAAGACCAGCGGCAGGCAGAAAAACCTTACTCCTTACACAGCTATTCTGACTGGCATGGAACTTGTTATATAGACCAGGTTGGCCTGAGACTCACTATATAAACTGTCCGGGCTTTGAACTCGAGAGTTTTTCTTCTGCTTCCTGAGTGTTGGGATCAAATCACTACACCTGGCCAAACATACATACATACATACATACATACATACATCATACATATGTTTTATAAAAAATAAATCTTTGGGAGGCTAGAAAGATGTTCAGTGGTTTAGAGCACTTTAGTTCCCAGCACCCACATGGTTCATAACCATCCATAACCTCTGTTCTAGGGACTCAACACCCTCTTCTGAAGTTCCAGAAGCACTAGGCATGCATCCAGTGAATATATATACATGGAGGCAAAACATCCACAATATAAATATTTTTCTTTTTGTTTTTTGGAGAAAGGATATCTCCCTTAAAGGTGTGTACCACCACTTTGTCATATAAATCTTCTTTAAAAATGGAGAAATGAAAGAAACCTAGTGTCTTAGTGGAATGTAAAGTTATTTCATTCTTTCTTTTTCACTGGGTAGCCCAGGACATGGAACTCAATATGAAATCTATACTGGCCCCAAACTCATGGTCATCCTTCTGATTTTTCTTCTCATCTGCTGAGAAATTCAGGAATATGTCACTTTATCCTACTCCATTCTCTTTTGAAATGATGTATATTAAAAGTACTTACTGGCAGGATGTACTGGCTGGTTTTGTGTGTCAATTTGACACAAACAACTTGACACATTTTCTCAATTAGTGATCAATGAGGGAGGGCACAGAACACTGAGTGTGGTGCCATCCTGGGCTGTTAGCTGGCCAGGTGGTGCTGATGCATGCCTTTAATCCCAGCACTTGGGAAGCTGAGACAGGTGGATCTCTGTGAGTTTAGGTCAGTTTGGTCTACAGGATGAGTTCCAAGACAGGCTCCAAAGCTACAGAGAAACCCTGTCCCCTCCCCTCAAAAGAAAGCAGTCTGAACAAGTCATGGGCAGCAAACTAAGCAGCACTCCTCTATGGCCTCTGCATCAGCTCTTCCCTCGAGGTTACTGCCCTGTTTTGAGTTCCTGTCCTGATTTCCTTTTATGGTGAACAATGCTGTAGAAGTATAAGCCAAATAAACCCTTTCCTCCCCAACTTGCTTTTTGGTCATGGTGTTTCATTGCAGCAATAGGACTCTAAGACACAAGGGATGTGGAGAAATGGTTCAGTGGTGAAGAGCACTTCTAGAGGACCCTGGCTTGATATGTAATATCCATGTTTATCACTCCACGTCTAGTAGATCTGATGCCCTCTTCAGGCCTCCACTAGTACTTCATGTATGTGGTGTATAGCCATATATCCAGGTAAAACACCCATACATGTAAAATTATTTAAAAAAGAAAGAGAAAAAAGGAAGGAAGGAAGGAAGAAAAGAAGGAAAAAAGAAAGAAAACTAGCTTGAGGGCTGTTGAAATGACTCAGTAGGTAAAGACACTTGCCAATAAGCATGATGACCTAATAAGTCTGATCTCTGAAACCCACATGGTAGAAGAAGGAAACCAAGTTTTGCAAGTTAATTGTCCTCTGACGTCCACATGGGTACTGTGACAAGTGAATACACATACATGCAGAATGAATGAATGAATGAATGCATAAAATAGGTAAATATAATAAAAACTTCTTTGTTTTTGTTTTTAAATACCAGTTTGGGATATAGTTCAGTCAGTGCAGTGCCTGCTCAACATGCAAGAAGCTCTGGGTTCTATTATCACTGCATAAACTGGGTGTGGTGGTGTATACCTGTAGTCCCATAACTCAGGAGATGGAAGAAGGAGGATTAGAAATTTAATGTCATACTAGGCCTCCTAGGAGTTCAAGAACAACCTGGGCTACATTGACCTGTTTCTAAACCCAAAGGACATTAATTAAGCACCTATATAGTTTAGAGACTCTTTAAACATTTCAAACAAACAGCTGGGTTTTGTTTTGTTTTAGTTTGGTTTTGGTTTTTCAAGACAGAGTTTCTCTGTATAGCTTTGGAGCCTGTCCTGGAACTCGCTCAGTAGACCAAGTTGGCCTCGGACTCAGATATCCACCTGCTTCTGCCTCCCCAGTGCTGGGATTAAAGGCATGCGAAACCTGGCTGTTTCAAAGAGTTTTAAGCCTTCAGTTGTTTAAATATTTTTGTTCTTAGAAATCACATTCAAAGCCTCATAAGTACTAAGCAAGCACTCTACCACCAATATCCCAGTCCTTCAGTTATCTTATTTTAACTAATAATATTCAAACCCTAGTGTTGTGAGATTTCGGTTCGTTTAGCCAATGACATTTGGGGCAGCCTATGTGACAATTTAAAAGCTGTTTAAGAGCTCTCTCTTGCTCTGTACTCTCTTGGGTGGTGGGAGCAGAGCAGGCGGCTTGCTACTGGTGCAGAACTAGACCAAGACAGCTGGATCAGCAGTAGTGTCTAATTGGTTCTGTATCAGTGAGTGATTGTCTCTATTCTTTATCTAAATACATTCTGGAGACCCTTTAACAGACTTGTGGATTCAGGCTACACCCTAGTTAAAATGTAAGTATTTTTAAAAATGGCAAATGTATTATCAGGTTCTTAGTTTCCAAAAAATAGAACTATAGAGTTTAGGTAAGTAGTTTCCTTTCTCCTGAAAAAAAAAATATGTATTTGTGTATATATAATATATGATATGTATATGCACACACACACATATATATATTTAATTTTTTTCAAGACAAGGTTTTTCTGCATTGCTTTAGAGCCTGTCCCAGAACTAGCTATGTTGATCAGGCTGGCCTCAAACTCATAGAGATCTGCTTGCCTCTAAAGGCGTGTGCCACCAATGCCAGGCGAGATATTATATTTTTAAGAAATGTGGATAACGACAACTTTGTTATTTCTCTTAGTTTTGATCTCAGGAAGTTCTGTTTAATTGTATTGCCCAAATGCCCTGAATATTCTTAGGTCATTGTATCATTGTACTTATATTTTTTCAGATATATTTTTATTTTATAAATTTTTCTAATAACTGGTTTGCTCATGGAAGGGGCAAGAGCTACTTACATTTAGAAAATCTTTTACTCATTTTTATTTTTAGAGACAGTGTCTCACACTATAGCTCAAACTGGATTAGAATTTACTGTGTAGGCCAGGTTGATCTTGAATGTTGGTTACCCTTCTGCTTTAGTCTCCCAAGAACTAGGACTATCACATCCAGAAGCCTCAGATATCTGAACAAATTTTGAGTGTCAGAGCTTTCAAGTATGCTTAGGAATATCAGATTTGTTATTTAATCTACAGTCATGCTATTTAGATAGTTGCCATTTTATTCAATCTATACACTACCATTACTTACTGTTTTCACTGGCTGACGAAGACTTCTCTTTCGATTTTCTTTAGAAGTTTGTCCTTGTTGACCTCCATTTACCTCCCAAACACAGAAAAATTACTATTTAATTATTTCTCAAAGAATAGGTAACAATTAGCTTTTGTCAACGGTATGCACTGATACACAATACAGATGCTACATGATTTTCCTATTTTAAGTATACAGTTCAATAATTTTAAGAGTATTCAGAGTTGCAGAATTTACCAGTATAGTCAGTATTAGAACACTTCATCACTCTCCAAGCCTTATAGAAGGCCCATCTTTAGCTATTAGTCTCTTTATCCCTTAATCTCCTGTTATTCCTAATACTTTGTTTCAATAGCTTTCCAAATTCTGCCTTTGAGAGTTGGTCTTGCTCTCTCTCTCTCCCTCTCTCTCTCTCTCTCTCTCTCTCTCTCTCTCTCTCTCTCTCTCTCTCTCTCTCATCCTGGCTATTCTGAAACTTACAGAGATCTGCCTGTCTCTGCCTCCATAGTACTGGGACTAAAGGCATCCACCATCATGTTTGACTTCAAATTCTGACTTGATTTTTTGAGACAGGGTTTCTCTGTAATGTATGACTTTCATATAAATAAAATCATGGTATGTTGCCTCTGCAGTTGGCTTCTTTCTGAAAGGGGTTGACTAATAAAAGGGACCAAACCCTTACTCACCCCCTGCTTTAACAGCCATGGCTACACATAGGCCTCTGACTCAGCACATGACACAAAGAAACTCCAGATCTCCTGGCCTCCCTGAGCCTAGGGCCAAAAGTGAACACAAAGAAACTCCAGACCCCTCCCCCACCCTGCACAAGCCTCCATAATACTTGGTTCCTGGGAACTGTTTGGCCACAAAAGAAACTCCAGGGAAGACCCAAACCTTCCCTGTAGTCTCCAGGATACAATTCTAAAAACTATTGGTATTTATGAACAGGCCACCTGCAAGTAATAAGACAAAGCCATAGAAACCACAGAGTGTTCCCTCTCAGAACTGACTAATAAAAATAATTGGTGCACAGGTATTTCATGCCAAAATATGACTTTGAGAAATTCCCCTGATTTTTCCCCAAATGTCAACCATTCAGAAACCAACCTTTACCTACTAATGTAATCCTATGATTTTTGCCTTTGAAAACCTGACAGTAGATGGGAAACTTGCTTTCTCTGGTGGCTGCTGTATCAGCCAACTAGAGGAGGTCCCTGTCATGGTTGGATGAACAATAAACCTTATGCATTTGCATCAGTGGGTCTGTCTCTCCCTGGTGGTCTTTGGGGATCTTTCAGACTTGGACACAACACTTTCAATGGATTATTGCATGTATGTTGATGTTTTATTCCTTTTATGGCTGAATAATTCCTTTGTGTGGCTATAATACTTTGTTTATTAAATTATCTGTTGGTGGACATTTAGTTTTCTTCTACTTCTTGACAATAGTGATTAATGTCAGATGCATAATTATTAATATAAATATTAGAAAGTGGAAAACTGTTGTAAATATTACTTTTCTCTAAAAAAGGCATACTTCTTGTTTAAGATTATTGAACAGAATTTTTTTTTAGAAAAATTTTGGACAGTATTTTACTATGTAGACCCAAATTCGCCATGTAGACAAGGCTGGTTGAAAATTGACAACCTTCTTGTTTCTGCCTCCTGAGTGCTGAGATTACAGGTATCTGGAGGTATAGCTCAGTTTTTTGCATGTGTGAGGCCCTGGATTCCCAACACTGCTAAAATCCTTTATCCTTTTTTCTCTCTCTTTCTTCCTTCCTTCATTTCTTTCTTTCTTTCCTTCCTTTCCCTTCCCCTTCTCCCTCCCCCTCCTTCTCCTTCTTCTTGGAGCCTGTCCTGGAACTCACTCTGTAGATTTGGCTAGCCTCAGACTCACATAGATATACCTGGCTGTGCCTCCTGAATGCTGGGATTAAAGACAAGCACCACCACTGCCCAGCTTCTGTCTCTCTTCTTGCATCCTAATGAAAGATATTCATCCTAAATTTAAACTAGCTAGAAAGAAGGTTTTGCTGCTGCTGGAATAATTCTTGACATTTCTAATTTCTGTAAGTCCCCTGCCTCCGGTAGAGTTTTACCCTGTAGCTTATGCTGGCCTGCAATGCACCATGTAGCCCAGCGTAGCCTCAAACAAATAGCTACCTTTTGCATCCCCTTCTCAAGCAATGGGATAACGGGTGTGTACCACCACATCCAGCTTACATTTCTTTGTTTCGTGCTTTAATCAGCATACTAGCTTGAATATTGCTTTCATTTACTTTTAACTTCCTACTGAGAATGTGGGGGAAGAAAAAGACATATAAACAAGGTAGTATAGTCACTGAGACTCTGAGATGTTTTACAATCAGCTCTATGGGAGATATCCTGAGGCATTTGTTGATTCCATATTGTGAATATTCCTAATGTCCAATTTCAAACTGCCATTATAATGTCACTGAACAAGATGTTAGGAAGCCATGATCTAGCATAGCACTGACAAAATAAGTTCTTTGTTCCCTAACTTTGCATTTATTTTATAGAATGCTTTTTCTCCACTCCTGACTCTTTGAGAGTAACATAAATGTCTAAAGTAAAATATGAGCTAGGTATGAAGTATACAGTTATAGTCACTGTACACTGAAGGCAACGGAGGAGCAAGAATTAAGTACAACACCAGTTTGGGTGACCTGAGACCTTGTCATGAAAAACCAAATCAAATATTTAGAAAAGTTAGTTATGGAAACTTAAACTGTTTTTTTTTGCTTAATAATATTTATTTTATGCAAGATATCTACAAAAGGTCAATTTTGTAAATAACCAGTTTACAAATTAGAACATGGGAACTTTCTGGTATTCTAGAATACTTCCTTTGAGTCTAGATAATAGGCAGGTGGTGGTGGCACACACTCTGGAGGCACAGGCAGATGAGAGAAAGACCGTCTCAAAACCAACCAACCAACCAACCAACCAACCAACCAAACAAACAAACAAAAATACAGAAAAATAAATTCACACATGAAGGGGGAATTACAAAGGATATTTACCATTTTACTCTGAAAAATTTTTCCACTTCTTGTTTTGCTTTCAGACACATCAAGTTCAGATGTTTTACTGACTAACTGTTCAACCTAGAAAAGATATTTCACAAAACCATATAGCATACCATAATAAGTTGGGCCCAAAATATTAATCATATAAAGTTCACTATCTTGTGCTGGATAGTAGCTCATACTTCTTTTTGATTTTTTGAGACAGGGTTTCTCTGTGTATCCCTGGCTATCTTAGAATTCACAGAGATCTGTCTGCCTCTGCCTCCAGAATGCTGGGATTAAAGGCGTGTGCCACCAGTACCTGGCATGGCTCATACTGCTAGTCATAACACTCAAGAGGCAGAAGGAGGATTGTCATAAATTTGAGACTAGCCTAGTCTAGTGAGTTTCAGGCTAGCTAAAGTAACATAATAGTATAAGGATTCAGGCATTATGCTGGCCTACCCCTGTCACCTGTCAGAATGCACTCAGGTCAGCCCAGGTGCAAAGGACCCCTTTAGAAGTAAGACCCAGCCCACTTATGCTATCTTTCCCATCCTCTATTTCCCTCTCTATTTCTCCCTCTCTTTCCTGCTGTTCCTCTGGGCCAGACATGACTTTTCCTGTCTCTTCTCTTCTGTCCTCTCTCTGTCTCTGTGTCTCTTTGCCTCTTTTCTCTTTTCTTCCCCCTTCCCTTTCTATTAAAACTTCTCACTAAGCTCTTTCTGCCTGATGTGTTTGTTTCGTTGTGTGTCTCCCCCACCCTCACCCTCTGGTCAACCTTGCCAGACATGGAATCTGCCAAGGTTCCCCATGCAAGGTTCCCCTCTACCCTTCCTCTCTCAATCCCTCAAACCAAGAAAAAAAAAAGTGTAAGATTTTTTTCTAGTTCTGAAATTCTTAGGGTCTATGAACATTACTTTTTTACTTATTTACTGAGGAAAGAAGTATGTACACCACTGTGCTTATGTAAAAGGTCAGAGGACAACTTGAAGGAAGTGAGTTCTGGAAATCAAACTGAGGTTATCAGGTTTGGTAGCAAGTCCCTTTATCTTCTGAGCTATCTCACTAGCCCTCTACAAACATCTTAAGGTTTATTATTAAATAAATTCACAGTGATATACTAAAAAAACCTTAAATATATAATAATTTTATCCATAATAATTTATCTAAATACTTTTATTCTATAACACATAAGAAAATCTGAGGACTAGTAAAATAAGCATATAAGCAACCATCTTTTAAAAAAATTAATGCAGGGCTAGAAAGATGGCTCTATGGTAAACAGCACTGGCTGATCTTACAGAAGACAAGGGCTACTAGCATCTACATGGTGGCTTACAACTGGCTGTAACTCCAGTCCTAAGGGATCTGATGTCCTAGTCTATATGGGCATCAGACATTCACAAAGTGCACAAAAATATATATAGGCAAAATACTCATGCACATAAAATAAACAAATGTAAAAATACATCTGTAATACCAGCATTCAAGATGCAGAGGTAGGAATAAGGCTGCAAGTTTGAGGTCAGCCTGGTCTATACAGTGAGTTCTAGGCTGATTAGAGCTATATTGTAAGACCCCCGTCTCTTACTCTTTCTCTTTCTTGTTTCTTGAGACAGGTTTCTCAGTGAAACAATTCTGGCTGTCCTGGAACTTGTTCTGTAGACCAGACTGGCCTTGAACTCACAGAGATCCATCTGAAAGACATGTGCCACCACTACCACCTAGCTAACAACCTGTCTCAAACAAAGTAAAACAAGACAAAAATAAAATTGAAACCCAGATGGAATTACCAAGTTTGTACCTGACAATGAGAAATTGAAGGACTTGGGTTTTTTTGGAACTGCATAATTTCTTCTCCCTTACAATCTAAATTTGGTTCTGTTTAAAAAGAAAAAGAAAAGACAGTTAAAATGGTATAAAGTTGAATTGGTAGTTAATAAACAATTTTGTTAGCTTCTTACCTTTAATTTCAGAAACTCCCAAGTTTTCTTTCTGTTCATCCACTTTAGTTTTAATGTCAAAATTATTCTTTAAAATATGAAGAAAAATTGAACTTATTTTAGGAATAAATGAAAACAGGTAGGAATATTAATGAACACATTTGCTTTATGTAAAGGACAAATACACCTTAGGCTTGCTAGAAATACAAATGATGCTAGAATTACTACCACAAGTCAACTTTTTTTTTTTTTGATACAGAGTTCCCCTGGCTGTCCTGGAACTCAGTTTGTATTGTAGACCTGGCTGGCCTTGAACTCACAGAGATCTGTATACCCCTGCTTCTTGAGTGCTGGGATTTGTAGGTGTGCACCATCATGTCAAGTTTATTTCTGTATTTTTGAGACAGAGTCTATCACTGACTGAACCAGAAGCTGAGTGTTTTGTCCAACAAGTTCCTGGAATCCTCCTGTTTCTAGCCCCAACGCTCCCAGTGAAAGGGTTACAGATTTGTACAATCATATGCAGCTTTTACATGCATCCTGGGAAACTGATCACACACATCTTTATGCTTGTACATCAAGAATTTTACCCACTGAATAATGTCTCTCACCCTGAGACTCAAATATTTTTAAAAATGCTACAAAAAATACTAGCTTGCATGATGGTTTACAACTGCAATCTCAATATTTAGGAGGCAGAGGCAGGAGGATTAGAGTTCAATGACAGCTTCTGCTAGACAGCAATTTAGCACCTAGCCTGAACCCTGTCTTTTAAAAACAAGAGCCTGTGAGAGGTACAGCAGATAAAGTGCTCAATGAGCAGACCTAGCAATCAGAATCTGATCTCCTGTATAGCCAGCCATTTGATCCTGCCTCAAAATAAAGTTCTCCCAACCTTATGATTTTACTACAGTATTTATAGAAACATTAAGATCTATCAAACTCAGCATTTGCTACCATTGTATTTTATAACTCTTTAAGTATGTTCATACTTACATGATTTTCATCTTCTCCATCATCTTTGTCCATTAGAATTTTCCGAAATGGTATTTTTGATTGTTTTGGTGTTAATATGGTTGAATCAATATTTTCCATTCGTTCTTTCTCAGTAGTCACTTTTAATCTGAAGGTGTGAAAAGGTGTTGGGACTTCTCCCACATTTAAGTATGTAGGGTTGCCGTCAAATATTACTCCTTCACAATCACCATCCTTAAAACCTGGAGGTTGGTAATCTGGGGGTGTAACTGCAAAAAGGAAAGTGTAAAGCTGTATCATTTATAAAACTGAAGAAGCTGAACTATTCATATAAAAACACAGCAAGATTAAATTCTAAGCTGAAATGTAGAGATGCACCTCCTATATCAAAGTTTTCATTCCTTAAGGGTAACATTCGTTTTGTTGATTGGCTGCATGACTGTGAGCAAATTATCAATCTTAGTTTGGTTTCTTTGTCAAAAGGAGAAAATAACAGCACCTATCCACAAGAGGTCACTGTGACATAAAATAGTAAAGTGTAAAATGTTCAGAACTGAACAGGCACATAGCGAGTAACTGTTTTTTTTTTAGTAACTTAAAAGGTGTTATTATTGTTGCCTTATATTCTAAAAATATCATGCATGTAATAAAATGACAATGTTTTATGGTTACATTGAACATATGATAGTAATCTTTCATGTGTTTGTGTATATTTTATAAAATATATCCTTAAACATCCTTTAAAAATTCAGGGATATCATGCCTAGCTCTTCTTTTTTCAGTGCTCTGAAAATGCAAAGGGCTAGTCAGTAACAAGAGCACTGCTGCAGCCCCTTTGTTATTTTAACAGTTCATAAGTATTTTTTTTTAAACATGGATGCAACATAATTTACTTACTCAAGTCTCCAAAGAAGGCATTCTATTTGTTTGCACTTTGTTCCTGTTTTAACCACTGCTATAATGAAAAGTCTTATAAATATATAATTTTAAATGTTTGTGCAAGCTATTCTCAAAATATTTTTCTAGGTACATAATTTATAAGTTAAAATACTAAATTTTGGAGTGACAGATATGACTTCAGGGTAGAACACTTGTCTAGCATGCACAAGGCCCAGCACCATAAAACCAAAACCTCTTTTTTTCTTTTTTGACAGGGTATCCTCTGTGTAACAGCCCTAGCTGTCCTGGAACTCACTCTGTAGACCAGGTTGGGCTCAAACTCACAGAGATCTGCCTGCCTCTGCCTCCCAAGTGCTAGGATTAAAGGCTGCCACAAAACCCTTTTTTTTTCCAGTTATGAGGTATTTATTCATTATATATACCTGAAAGAAACACTGCATATTTATTTTTCTGTTCTCTATAACGAAATTATAAAAAGATGATGTAAAATAGTCTTAAATTAAAACATAACTGTATTAGAAATGCAACAGACAATTAAATCTTTACATAGCTGGTAAGAACATAGGTAGTGCTAGCATGGTGGTGGTGCATGCCTTTAAATCCAGAACTCAGGAGGCAAAGGCAGGAGGATCCCTGTGGGTAAGGAGCTCTTGTGTTCCAGCATAACTAATGAAGTGGAGAGCAAAACAAGGGGCTGGGATTAGAATGTAGTAGCTTGAGTGTTGCACTAAATGTAGTGACACTAAATGTTACCTGGATGACCTGGCCAGATCCTTAATGCAATGTTGACAGCCAACTTTTTTTGATACTGACATGTCTTTTGAAAATTTTGTATTCTCTCAAGAAGGTTTAAGAGCACATACTTTCTCAATTATGGGAAATTCACAAGTTTTACCAATCTGATAATTTCACTATTTCATTTCTTTAATTATGGGTAAGTTACATTTCCTATAGATTTTTCTATCAATAGAGAAATGCATTTAAAAAAATTATTTATTTTATGTATATGAGTGCTCTATCAACTTTAGGCCAGAAGAGGGCATCAGATGACACCATGTGGTTGCTGGGAATTAACTCTGGTCCTCCGGTGCTCTTAACTGCTGAGTCATCCTCCATCCCCAAGAAATGCATTTTAAATCCTACTTTTGCAAACATTTTTTTGTTTTAGTTTTCCTCCCTTCCTTTCTTTCCTCCTCCCACCCTTCCTCCCTCCCTCCTTCCTCCTTCTCTCTCTGTTTTTTTCAAGACATGGTTTCTCTCTGTAACAGTTCTGACTTTCCTTGAACTTGTTCTTAGATCAGCTTGGCTTCTTACAGAGATCCACCTGCCTCTGCCTCCCAGGTGCTGGAATTAAAGGCCAGTGCTACCATCATCCAGCAGCATTTTTGTTTTTCAATATTTAATTGATTTTTTAAATTCATTTTGTGTGTATGATTGCCTGTCTGTCTGCCTGCATATCTTTGTCCACAGGTGCCTGGGAACACCAGAAGAGGGCACCGGATTGCCCTGGACATGGAATTACAGGCAATTCTGTAGCCTAATTCTGGGAACAAACTAGTCCTCTGCAAGAGCAGCACGTGCTCTTAACCTCTGAATCATCTCCTCAGCCTGCAATGTTTCTTTTTCAAATACTCATATTAAATATAACTTTTGTAATTTCAAAGACTCTAACAATTTAGGTGCAAAAATATTGTAAGTGGAAACCAATTTTTAAAATATAAAACTAAACCAAGACATACTGTAAGTGGTACCTTCATCATAGTAAAAAAGTTTCATGGTCAGACAAACATCATTGGGTAATGGTCCTAGATTTTGCATCAGGATATAAATCTTCCGAATGAGGAGAATACTTGCTTTCTTGGTGTCAGCAGATGTTGCACTAGATCTATTGTTTTGATTTTTGCTAGAAAAGAATCAGAAATAATTTCTTTCATAAGACTTGTGATTTCTAATATTATTCCACATTATTTGAGATTATTCTTTTAAAACATTGTTACTAGGTTGAAAGTTACCGCAAAATAATTCACTATTATAAAAATTTAATATCACTATTAATATCATTATTATAAGTTAAATATAAAATTTACATAAACAAAATAAATACACATTATATATATGTGTGTTTAAAGATAATAAATGATGGCTTATAATTATATTTCTAACCATTCAAATCTCTTTTATGTAATTAAAACAGTATATACTTATGACATAATCTTGTCTTGTGGCATACTAAGTTTTGCTCCATTTTGAGAGCTTGCCTGGGGATTGTAGCAGAAAAAAATCACAGCTACTCATAAACCTTGAATGAAAAACAGTCCTCCACTATCAAAGAAGGTTGTCCTCTTTCACTGAGTGTGAAGCATTGGGAAGGAATCACTTGGACAGGTGATAAAGGGAGCACCATCCTAGGCAGCCAGAACAGTCAAATAAATAAATGCTGGGGATCAACAACGGGTGACAGGTATCACAGCTCCACTGACCTCACATTCCATTTTGCAAAGCCAGATTGCTAACTGGAAGATTGAGAAGTTTCAGAAATAACCTTGGAGTCTAGCTGAAAAGCATTAGTAAGTGGCAATTGATAATATAAAAATAAAACTATAGAACAATACCTTATAAAGTCCATGATTGGTCCATTTTTGGTGTACTTGAACTTAAACTGGTAACATTCTGAAATTGTCTTAAATAGAAAACATTGCAATTACATGACCGATGCACAGCTCTGGCTGTTGTTGCTTTTATATAACTTCAAACATTCCATCACTGAGATCCTGCATATCTATAAAAATATGGCAATAAAGCTGAGCATCGTGGCACATCTTTAGTCCTAGCACTTGGAAGGCAGAGGCAGGATCTCAGTGAGTTCAAGGCCAGCCTAGTCTACATGGTGAGTTCTAGGACAGCCAAGACTATATAAAAAGACCCAGTTTCAAGAAAAAAACAACTCAGTAATGAATATTTTCTGAAAAATTAACCATAGCCTTTCCCTCAAGCAGTCTGCTTTATAATTATGGACATATATTAAACATTATTTGTTGGCATGAGTTTCAAAGAAAAGACTCATATTCATCCCTCCTTAAGTGTGGAATATTTAGTTTAAAAAATCCACTGTGAGGCTGGAGAGATGGCTCAGCAGTTAAGAGCAAGAGGACCTGGGTTCAAATTCCCAGCACCCACATGGTAGTTCACCACTGTAATTGAGCTCCAGGAGTTCCAGCACTGTTATATAGACACACATGCAGGCAAAAACAATGCACATAAAATCCACTGTGTTTAACTAGGGTCACTTGTATGCAGATGGATACTATGTTAATGAGTCATGGGCAATTTACCGGTGGTTATTCCACTGAAGAAAATTACTTTTCTTCCTCCAGCAACCATTAACTATCAATAGTGCCTCAGCTAAGGGTGGAAATATTTTTGCTTTCTTTGCCTGTCAGTACATTTATTTATAATAGTTTTGTATAACTCAGGCTGGCCTCAATCTCTATGTAGTAGATAACCTTGAACTTCTCATCCTCCTAACTGTAATTCCCATGTTCTGGGGTTACTGGTGTATGCCACCATAACTAGTGTTGTTTTTTCACCTAGAGCTTTGATTAAGTTCAATAAGCTTTTTGCCAAATGAGCCACATCCTCAGCCCTCATTGGTTTAAATATGCTTCCAGGACTAAGTGAAATGTTTCATTTTAATTAATAGTTTAAACCATCACATGGTGAGCTGGTTTTCCTAGTTCAAATTTTGATTTTGTTTTGTCTGCCACACAACTTTAGGTAAGAAACCTTGAATCCAGAGAAATCACTCAGCTGGTAAAAGAGCTTGGTACACTAGTATGAGCAATAGATTACACATCCCCAGAACCCATGTAAAAACTGCTGAGTGTGGTTGCATGAACCAATAACTCTAACACTGTGATAAAGCACAGTGAACTGGAGGTTCACTGGGGTTTGCTGGCAAACAGCCTAGCTCCTGGTTCAGAGAAAGAATCTATCTCAAAGGAATAAGGAGAATGATAAAGCAGGACACCCAATATACATACACCACCTGTGTATATATGCACCATAGATACACAAACCACAATTCCTATCTGTAAAGTGCTGATTATAATTCTAATAGGTTATGGTGGATAAATAAGGGGCAATGCCCACAAATACCTGAAAAATAAAGCCTATTTATTATAGAATAAGCACACAAGATCTTCTGAGGGTGTGTGTGTGTGTGTGTGTGTGTGTGTGTGTGTGTGTGTGTGTGTGTGGTTTTTGATAGAGACCTTGTCTAGAATGTTCAAGGCTCAAGGTTCATCCCTAGTAAAGCAATAAAATAAAAATAATACAAACCCAAAAAAGCTGAGTGTGTTGACCCACACCTGTAACCCCAGCAGGTGGAGGCAGTAGTATCAGGCAGCATGGGCTTCACACTGGGTTTCAGATTAGTCTATGCTAAGAAAGAAGTCTCTGTCTTTAAAAAAGATGGGGTAGGTGTTGAGGTTGTAGCTCACTGGTAGAAGGCTTGCCTATGATAAAGGAAATCTGGCTTGATAGCACAAGTTTGTAAATTCCAGCACTCAGAAGGTGTAAGGATCAGAAGTTCAAGGTTTGATGTCATCCTATGTTACACAGGGAGACTTGTCTCAACAGTAAAGGAGTGTGTGGAGTCATAAGTCAAGCAACATAGGTTATTTCTAATAGTTTATTAGACTCCTAGGCTAAAATCAGTTACAAAATCTCTTGTAGTGACTGTATGTATCTTTTAAAATATAACAACACAAATCATGCCTGACCTTAAAATTTTTACAAGTTTCAAACATGAAAAAAATGTAGACGTATATTGATTAAAATACAAAACCATGCTGGGCAGTGGTGGTACACACCTTTAATCTCAGCACTTGGGAGGCAAAGGCAGATGGATCTCTGAGTTCGAGGCCAGCCTGGTCGGTCTACAGGACAGCCAGAGCTACACAAAGAAACTGCTTCAAACAAACAAACAAACAAACAAAAACCCCAAAAACCAAAACAAAAGAAAAACAAACAAAAACCCAAGAAGCATTAACTCTTAAGAGAACTTTGATATTAGAAGCATTACATTTCTAACACTTCTAACTCAAGCACACTTACCCGAGGATCTTCTGGATTGGTGTATACCTATGTAAAAATGAATTACAATTAAGTGAGGGTAGTATTCAAAAGAACAAAATTGAACATTACATTAGAGTAATGAAACAAAAAAAATCAGAATGACTCTCCCAATAAGAAATTTACTTCTTTTTTCTCTGGGGTTAAAGAGATACTCAGGGGTTAGGAGTGCTGGCTACTCTTCAGGGTTCAATTCCTAGCACCCACATGGTAGCTCACAACTGTCTGTAACTCCAAATCCAGGGGATCCAAGACTCTCACACAGACATATATGCTGGTAAAACCCCAATACACATAAAAATAAATAAATCTTTTTAAAAAATTAATTCTCTCCCCCCCACTAGATACATCAGCTAGTTGAATAAAGTGACATAAAATCATCTGACAGTTTCAGTGTCATTTAATGAAGGGAAAAACTTAACAGTGTTAACAGATACAATTTAAAAGTACTTACTGCTAGAATGATCATCCTTAGCTGAAATACAACAGAGAACAAAATCTTAATTGCATTCTATTAAGTGCATTTTCATGATGAATCACAAAATTTCTTTATGTTCATTCAGGGGCTTGGATCATAGCTCAGCAGTAGAGCACCCGTTTAGCACATGTAAGACCCTAAATTCAACCTTTAGTGTTCCCCCATCCCCAAGGAGGACTTTTTGCTCTATCTCAACATTTCTTTCTTTTTTTTGTGTGTGTGTGGTGGGGTTGTGGCACTTTTTGGAGACAGTCTCACTAAGTAACCCTGGCTGTCTTGGAATTTGCTATATAAACCAGGCTGGCCCTGAATTTATAGAGATCCACTGGCATCTCCTGAGTGCTGGAATTAAAGGCCTGTACCAGCATACCCATTATTCAACACTCCTTCTTTCCTTCCTTCCTCCCTCTCTCTCTCTTGTTTTTTTTCTAAGACAAGGTTTATCTGTGTAGCTATGGCTGACCTGGAACTCACTCTATAAACCAGGCTGGCCTCATACTTAAGACATCTGTCTGCCTCTGCCTTCTTAGTGCTGGGATTAAAGGTGTATACCACTATCATCCTGCAATGGTGAAATTTTAATTAAGATTTTTACAATAGACTACAAGTTTTTTTTAACATAGTTATTATTTTAAGAAATATATACAGAGAAGACCAGTTCTAGCAGAAATTTTACCCATAGTCTCTAACTTTTGCACTAAGATAGTAAATATGGAACAACATTCTGGCACTTAGAAGCATTGGTAAGCTAGCAATGGTTAACAGTTAGTAAAAAAGTAAATACTGCTGTGTCCCACATTGCCATTAACTACATGGTAGAAAACATCTTTGAATTTCCTGATCCTCTCATTTCTATCTCCCAAGTTCTAGGTTTGTAGGCATGTAGCATCATAGCTAGCAATAAATAATAACAATTATTATCAAGTGAGAGAGGGTCTCACAGTGTATCCCTGACAGGACTTGAACTCACAGACATCTACCTACTTCTGCCTCCAGAGTGTTATTATTAACAGTGTGTATAAGTATTTCTTTTTTTTGTTTTTTATTTCTCAAAAAAGAACAAATTACTAAAATACTAGTATAAGTATGGTTGAAGAATATATGTAAAACTAATACAATATTTTAAAACATTTAAACTCAATTTTGTAACTTAATATGTGCTATTAATGCTAATAAGTGAGTATTAATTTGTTAAAATATAGCTTGGCACAAATTTTCTAGTATTAATTGCATTAGCTTAAATGAACTGAAGACTGAATTTTAAAATATTCAAATGCAGCCAGGCATGGTGATCCATGTCTTTAATACTAGCAGTGGGGAGACAAAGGTAGATTGGTCTCTTGTGAGTTCAAGACCAGTGTGGTCTTCAAAGCAAGTTCCAGGCCAGCCTGTAGTGAGCTCTTGTCTCAAAAAAAAAATTTTTAAATGTGGGACTGGAAATATGGCTCAGCAGTTAAGAGTGCTTACTGTTCTCAAGGACCAGAGTTTGGTTCCCAGCAGCCATAATAGCTCACAGCCATCTATTTATCTAGCTCCATGATATCTAACATCTTTTTCTGTCCTCCATGGGCACCAGCATACATGAGCGCGCACACACACACACACATCTTTACATTATTCAAATGCTCAATTTTTGTAGTAATTGAGACTGATCTATATCAAGTTAGTTTAAATTACTGTCTTACTTATGATAACTCCTGTTTTAGCTATAGGGAAGGAAAGAAGAGATGGCAAAAGACTTACATATTTCTTCTGTAAAGCATCATAGCATCCTAGCATCCTAAAAAAGTCAAAGATTTGCTTTTATATTTAATGCATTTTCAGAAAATAGTTCTTTTCATAAATCTCTATTTTACCATTACAAAATCAAAGAATTAAATTAAAGCATCTTTCTTATTAACTAGCTTAAAATTCAACAAAATAAAACATGAAACAGGGGCTGGAGAGATGACCCAGTGATTAACAGTGCTTATTGCTTTGATCCCAGCACCCACAAGGCAGTTCAATAACTACAGTTGCAGGGTCTTTTACTCTCTTTTGTTCTTCTTTGGCTTCAGAACTCACAAGGTAAACATACATGCATTTACCCACATACACATTAAAATTTTAAAAAAAGATCTTGGAAAAAGGAAATCCAGCCAGTCAGTGCCTTTAATCCTAGCACTTGGGAGGCAGAGGCAGGTGATTCTCTGAGTTCAAGGCCAGCCTGGCTTAAAGAGAGAGTTCCAGGACAGCCAGGGCTACATAACAGAAACCCTGTGTCAAAAAACCAAACCAAACCAAACCAAACCAAACCAACCAACCAACCAAACAATGAAGCAGAAATATGGAGATGGAGGACAGAAGGAAAATTATAAAACATCTAATAGTTATTTGTAGAGTTATAAATAGGAAAATGAATCCTATTTACATGGAGTATGAAACAAAAAACAAACAAACAAACAAACAAAAAACATAAATCCAAAGACCTAAAAACATGGTACTTGGACCAAAGGGTTAATCACTTAAATCTGGATATACATAGAAAAGTATCCAATGTACAAAAGATATTATGATTAGAAAAGTAGTACCAAAAGAAAAAAAGTATGAATTATTTGCCTTTAAGTATTCTTTTACTTACCACTTCACTAACTGTGAAGAACCTGGACAATTTTTATCTTCTTTCAGAATTTTGACACAAAGGTCTAAATGAAAAATGAAATAAATATAGAAGTACTTATAGATAGTTGATTTATTTAATTAATTATATTTATTTGTATTACATGTGAATGTCTATGGGCACACATTTATCAAAACACGTATGTGTGACAACCAGAGACTTTTAGGAGCTGGTTCTCTCCTTGTACCATGTCAGTTATAGGGATCCAAATCAGATCATCAGATCTGGTGGCAAGTGCCTTTTAACAACTAAACCATTTATTTTGTCAGCCTCAACAGTAAATTTAAAATTATTTTTACTTTCTTTAACTATAAATTATAGATATATTATTTTTTGAGACAGGGTCTCACTATATAGCCTAGGCTGGTCTCGAACTCAACAGTCCCACTGCCTTAACCTATCCAGTATTGGAATTACACTAGTGTGTGCCACCCACCTGGCTCATTATATGAATATTATTAGTGGCAGCTTTGAAATAATTGGTACCCATTATAAAATGTCATAATAATGAGTAAGAATTTAAGTTGATGGATAAAAAATTTCCTATTTCTGTGGCTTAGTTGGTAAGTAGTTTGTAAGTGGCTTGCAAAATCCTAGAAATTCTGAGCACCAACTAAACTGGGTGTAGTGATGCGTGCCTACAGTCCAGTACTCAGAAGGTAGACAAAGTAGAAACACAGAGTTCAAGGCCAGTCTCAGCTATATAATCAGTGCAAGGTCAGCCTGGACTACCTAAGTAAGACTCTGAAAAAAAATGGGGCAAGGAGAGGCAGAATAAATAGCTCAATATTAAGAGTACTGTCTGCTCTTCCAGAGGACTTAGGTTAGATTCCCAGCACCCAAGTGGCAGCTCATGGTAATTGTAGTTCCACAGGATCTGATACCCTTTCTGGTCTCCAAGAGCACCAGGTATACACATGGCATGCATACATACATGCAGGCAAAACAATCACATGCATTAAATACAATTTAGTTATATTTCCATATAATAATTTTTCAACAGTCTTAGAATGTTTGCTATTAACTTTTATTCTACTGAAAAATGTATTATAACTGGGCCAAAAGTTGACTCTCAAAGATGAAGACTCTGCAGAGACACAACATGTAATATCAGACACAACATATCAGAAAGGACTGAGATTATCACTCTTAGAGTCTTCATCTCATAAACAGGGATAATTACTGCTGTCTGGGGGGGGCAGCCTCCAGTAGCACAGGGCCTTGAAAGGAATCCACAGTGTTGTAAGTTAAGACTTTCCTATCTGAGGTTTAGGGAAAAGACACCCACATGCTCTCTTGATGGCTTCCTTCTTTATTCTCTGTTCTTTTCATGTACTTTCTACTGTACACTTTTTTTCCCTACAGTTTATATACCCCGATAAAGTTTTTTCAGGCAATATAGGAATTACACTGTGGATACATTCTGCTTCTGCCTCTGGAGTGCTGGGATTAAAGACATGTACCACTACTGCCTGGCATAACAGGGATTTAGATATGTTTAAATTATTAGAAGTCTGATGTCAGGTGAAGCTATACTTGCAAAATTGAGGGGAAAATTACGTGTTTTTCAAAAGTATTTAATATCCCTAAAGTACTTTTGAAGGCTAGAAACACAGCACAGTAAAAGAGCACTTTTCTAAGCATGTATAAGGCCCTGGGTTTGATGACTAGCAAAAAACAAACAAAGCAAAACCCCAACTTGCATATGAATGTGGCTTCACACATTAAGAGCACAAAAAAAGGAAACAATCTAAGTTGACTCGTATGGCCACACAATGGGATATTATTCAGCAGTGAAAAGGAAATCAATTATTAATTCATGTTATGGCATTATGGTGAATTAAATAAGTCAGTTAGAAAGAACATACTACATGATTCCATTTATGAAAAATATCCAGAATAGGTACATTCACTGAAACAGAAAGTAGTTCTATAACTAGGAATATGGGAGAGGAGAATGATTTATTGTAGATGTATTTCTTTTATGGAGTGGGGAAATGTTCTAAAATTATGGTGGTAATTGCATGCTGCTGTGAGCACTTAATAATTGAACTAATACACTTTATTTACATCAATAAACTACTACCAAAAGCACATTCTCTAAGTAAAAAAAAAAACAAAGATCTTAAATATTATAAGTTACCATCCAGATATCTTGTACCATAAGCACGCTCTGGAAATATCCCTCTCAAATAAGTGATGCAGGATACCGAAACTGCCAGGAGCCTCTTCACAAACATCAAAGACTGATACTCAGTTGATATCTTATTGGGAAATACCAATGCACTCTGAAATTCAAGGGAAATTAAAGTATCTTAATTGATATTTGTTGAGAACACAGCTTCCCTGAGCTTAAAAGCAGAGTCTAGTTTTGGATAAGTACAGCATTTTCCAAAACAATTCTTCAAGGTCATCATACCCAGAAAGTCACTGCAGCCTTTAAAATGTGTTCAGGGTAACAGTCCAAAAGTGAAGCAAAATGTGTTTAACAGTCTTAAGAATCCTTGAGATTGAAGGGTGCAGTGGCATATGCTTTTAAGCATTTAGAGCAGTCAGGATTGTTGTGCAGAAATACCTTGTCTTGAAAAACAAAAACAAACAAACAAAAACCAAAAAAAAAAAAAAAAAAAAAAAAAAAAAAAAAAAGAATCCTTGATATTAACTGAAAATGCAAATATCAGAGAATATTTATTCTTTAATCATTGGCTAGGATGAAAACAGATTAAATATAATGCAAGATTCTATGCAAATACTATAATTTCTTTGTCTCTGAGTCACAGACATTTTCTAGTATGGACTTGTTATAAACAATTTCATAAAAGTAGTGCAATAACATTCATTAACAGCTAATTGTAAACTAAATGTGAGTGAACATGGTGGTTCGGTTTGGTTTTTTGAGACAGGGTCTCACTATGTCAGCTTATCTGGTTCTCTATGAAGACTAGCCTGGCCTCAAACTCATAGAGATCCACTTGTCTCTGTCTCCCAAATGCTGGGATTAAAGGTATGTGCCACCATGCTTAGCCAAATGAGCACTTTAAATTTAGCAACTACTTTACTAGTTTCTATAATAAAACCAATACAAATAAGACCTTATATATCTAATAATGTTACTTGTACAAATGAAAAAAAAAATCAGTGTTTCTAGACCAATCCAGCTTGTTAGTGTCTGTAGTAAAAACAAAGTAAACTGGGATGCTTTTCTCTGAGGTTGACAGCACAGATAAATTTTCAAAAAGTCTAATTATATATATGTGTATATATATCTACTATTTATATTTATATTAAAAGATAAATAATAGTGGTATGTTATGCAGCAAAAGCTTCTTCAGGTTCTATAGTCATCCAAAGAAAATTGTAGCATGTCCATTTAAAAAAAAGTAAAAATCAAATTTCAGAAAGTAAGTTGGGTGTTGGTGGCACACACCTTTAATCCCAGCACTTAGGAGGCAGAGAAAGGAGGATCTCTGTGAGTTTGAGGTCAGATTGGTACACAGAACTAGTTCCAGGGCAGGTCCCAAAACAATACACAGAAACACTGTCTCGAAAAACAAAACTGAACAAAAAAATTCAGAAAGTAACAGTTCTCTAACTGTGGTACCTTGTACCATATTTTTAAAAATTAGCTTCTCAATAATCATCTGCAAAGGAAACATATTGAATAACACTGTAAAAGTAGTTCTGACAAAGCATGGTTACAATAGTTTATATAATAGCAGGTGCAGCTATTTTACATCCACAGAAATATTATATAGTAGAGCCCACAGCTAGAGTACTCAGGATACAAATGAAAAGGCATTATCTGAGACTTGATTTAACTTTTCAAGCAAAGGGTTCAAAGGAAGGGATGATAAAACTTCTGTAAAGAAATGCACTTTAGGAACTGGAAAAATGGTTCAGCTGTCAAAATCACTGGCTGCTCTTCTAGAGGACTCAGGTTTGATTCCCTGCATCCACATGGTGGCTAACAACTGTCTCTAACATTAGTTCCAGGAGATCTGACAGCACTATACTCACATAGTACAAGACATATATGCAGACAAACAACCCATACATTATAAATAGAAAAAAAATGCACTTTGAGCTAGATATGGTAGCATATGCATTTTTAATACCAGTTCTCAAGAAACAGAGACAGGTGGATCTCTGTGAGCATAGTCTAGTCTATGTAGAGAGTTCTAAGCCAGCCAGGGCTATATACAGTGAGATGTTGTCTAAAGTGATAATAAAATAGTGGGGGCTGGAGAGATGGTTCAGAGCTGCTCCTCCAGAAGTCTTGAGTTCAATTCCCAGCAACCACATGGTGGCTCACAGCCATCTATAATGAGATCTGGTGTTCTGGCCTGTTTCAGACAGAACACTATATATATAAAATAAACAAACCTTTAAATAATAGAAATAATAATAATATCAACAATAATAGTAATAAGCAATAACAAAGAGAAATGCACTCTCTTGGAGGGAATTTCTTCTCCTCATTAACAGCAGCTAAACGGCATTATTAAGAAAAAAATCCCCTAAAACAAAGCACAAGCACCAGGTTCATACACAGATGGCTGAGTGGAAGCAATCAGGATTCCACCTTACTTGCTTACTTGTATTTTACAACTGTCACATCTGGCTCATGAGAGCTATTCCTACCATCCCATGATAGCTGGAGCTACAGAAAAAAACCCTGTCTCTAAAAAGAAAAGAAAAGAAAAAAAAAAAAAAAAAAAAAAAGGAAGAAACTCAGCTAAATTAATATATATTAAATCATTTAAGATATCATACCATGGAAGCCGTCCTCCGCAACTGCATAGTGGCCATCTTCCAAGAAAATGTTTTCTTCAACCATGTAACACAAATATAAATTTTAATTTCAGATTTAATTTTTAACTCGAAAACTCTACTTTATTACATGAATTTTTATCTTAATAAAGTTCAGGATTTTACTTAAAATAGAATCTTTAAAAATGACAATGTGTAGCCCCAGGAGGTAGTACTTTAATTCTAACACTTGTGAGGCTGAAGCAGAAAGATCACGAGTTCAGATTGGCTACTTAGCAAGTTGCAGACTAGGCAAGGCTACCTGAGACCCTGTTTTTTGTTTTTTTTGGGGGGAGGGGTAGGCCTAATAATTAAAAAAAAATATTTATATCGAAAATAGTCAAATCAGACGACTCCTTCATCAGGGCTCAGTATACATTGTTTACTCTGGAACCATAAAACAGCAAAGCAGGGAGAGGGCATAAGATGGCTCAGTTGGTAAAGGGGCGTGCCTCTATCGTGATGATCTGAGTTGGTAGGACCAACACGGTGGAAGGGGAAAACAGATTCCCACAAGGCCTCTGATTCTACACGTGCCACAGTACAATGTATGCCACCACCCCCATAAGGTGTAACGTAAACTTTTTTAAAGGCAATAAAAATTTTTTTCATAAATAGATTTTAAAATTTTTTTTCAGATAGGCTTTCCTGTAGCCCAGGCTGGATTCCAAGCAAGAATGCTACTGATTTTTTTTTTTTTTTTAATCAGGGTCTCCCCGTGTGTAGCTCTGGCTGGAATTCTCTATGTAGCCCAGGCTGGCCTCGAACACACAGAGATCTACCCGCCTCGGCCTCCCGAGTGTGGGGACTAAATGAGTGCACCACCACCTCTGGCTTGACCTTGAACTTCTGGCCCTCCTGCCGCCCCCTCCCCAGCGCCACCATGTACCATTTATTCTAAAATTTTACTTTTGTTCATACTCTGAGACAAGGTCTCCTTACGAAGCTCTGTCTAGCCTGTAACTCGCTCGCTCTGTAGACCGTGCACGGTGGCCTAAAACCCGCCCGCCTGTGAAATTCTAACGACTGATTCTCAAGTCCCAACTATCCCGGTAAACCCATTTAAATTTCCTTGCACTCGGGTGCCATTTCCTCTGCAAACGCGGCCGGAAGCCGTTAGCACTATGGCGCCCGCCAGCCGCGCCTCAGGAAACTGCGGGACACGAGCGAGCGCACACAACCTCTCAACCGTTAGCCTTTCCGACCGCAGGAACCTGAGAGTGAGCGAGGGGTCACCGGGAGGAGACTGAGCAGTGACAGAGTTAAGAGACCCAAGCCCAAAGGAAACATATATTACGCAACGCCTGAGAGATGCGGGCCACAGCCACAGGGAAGAGAGGCGCGAGGCGCGGACGGGCTTCAGCACGTGCGCAGTGCGCACGCGCGCCAACTGTCGCAGGCACGAGGAGCGCCCTTTGACCTGGAGGCGAGACCACAGTTCCCGCCAAAGGCAGCGCAAGGCCTGCCGGGAGCGCTGTTCGCGGCGAGGCTCAGTCGAGCGTGGGTTCGATCGCCGAGTGTGCAAAGCCTGCCCGACCCACGCCGCTCCGCCAGCGGCCGCAGGTTCTCCAGACGCCTCCACTCCTGGGCGTTGGTTGTTTCCTGGCTTTAGAGTTTGTTATCCCATCTTCCGTGTGGGTGGTCGCGCTGTCCGGTCAATGATGGGACGAAATCAGTTGCTCTGCCAGTCTGATTGCTTAGACTTTTATTTCTGCTAATAAATTGCTTGTAGTTTTTAGTATTATTTGTGTGTGTGCCCTGTGGCGTTCATGCAGAGGCCAGAGGACAATATGTGGGCATGTTCATACCACAGCACACAAAGGCTAACCTGAAGCCAGTTGTCTCCTCCTGCCCTGTGGTCCCAGGAATCTAACTCGGTTGTCAGGCACCTTTACCCGCTAAGTCGGCTCACTCACCCAGTGCTTTTACTTTTTAGTTGTATTCTCCCAGTTTAGCTGAAGTTGGTCTTGACAGGCCGTCCTCCCTGCTTTTCCCCTCTTCCGTACTAGATGCACAGGCATATGTCACCGTCTTGCTTTACTTAGGTATTTCTACTAGTCTAACTGGGAACAGTGGGTAGCTTTGGAAACGATGTCTCATTTAGAAACAAAATTGAGCTCTGTTTTTGGAGTGGTGATTTTCAGTACTGGCATTCAAGTGTGTCACCGACACTGCTTCACACAATTATTACAGTCCCCAGGCTGTCAGAATGGCTCAGTGGGTAAAGGCAGGGTCTGCCAAGCAGGATGAACCGATACCTATTCCTGGAACCCACAAAGTGGGAGAAGAGAACCGATTCTGCAAAAAATGTTCCCTGCCCTCTACATGTGCACCTCAGCGTGTGTGTCCATATAGGCAAACAAACAAACAAACAAACAAATAAATAAATAAATGTTAGAGAAGACAATACCGTTCTAGATGAGAGAAAAGCTGTCTGGGAAGGCTAACGGAGCTGGGTGAGTCTGTGGGTAGGGTGTTCTACATGGAGGCTCTGGTTTTCACAGTTGGTAGGGCAGCATATGCCATGTGTCAGTGTGGTTTTATTCTGCAGGAAGCAGGGCTGGCTTCAGGCATCACAGTCATGGCTTTGTTCAGGTTTATTTAATTCTCTGTGGATCAGCGATCTCTGTCACTGAGCTTTTCTTCAGGGTACAGTGTTTGTTGACTAGTGTTAACTGCCATCTATAGACAGACTCTGAAGTTTTTATTTATTTACTTATTTTGTGTGTATAAGTGTCTGCATGAACGTATGTGCACCATGGGTGTGACAGAAGAGAGCGTTGGATCCCTTGGAACCTGGGTTACAGATGGTTGTGAGTCATCATGTGGGTGTCAGGAGGTGAACCCCATCCCCCATGAGAGCAGCAAACACTCTTCACCACTCAACCATCTCTCTCTCTCCAGACCCCATGGGAAAAACATTAGCATGAAGGGTAGGTGGGGACTGGATGGCAATGGGAACTTCTTCCCTTACTGTGTATTGTCTCATAGATGTTGATATATATTCATCAAAAGGAAATGTACACCACAGGCAGGGAAAGGCCTGCCCGAAGTTATTCCGTGCAGGAGGTCTGTAGGTCCTTGTGCTCACAGATGAGTACCAGGGAAAACAGAAATATTAAACACACAGAGCTGTCTTTTCAAAGAGAGGGGTGTGAATACCTGTTTTCCACCCAGAAGGCTGGGAACAGATGTGGTGACCTTTGCTCCCGCAGACCCTTATTAGGAACTTGTTTATCTTGAGCTCATTTCCCCAGTTAATCTATCTTTATGGAAGATGTCATTTGTACTTTACTAAGAGTTTTGATGTAGTCATGTCTTAGCTTTATTGTATATACCAGATTAATTATCAACTTTGTTCGCAGGAATATTTTTTGTTTAGGAATATTTAAATATTCCTAAAATAAACGACCCGGTGTCAGACTCTTAAAGTTTAAACTAATACCAGCTACTGAACTGTTTTCTTTCCTCTCATGGACCAACACTCTGCTGACCTTGGTGGTCTCAGAGGCCCCCAGTTCAGAAGTATGAAAAATAACAAAGACTAGAATTTTGTTTTCATGATAAAAAATGTTGGAAATCTTGTTCTAATGTTTACCACACCTTTTTCTCACATTTAAAAAATTTCCAAGAATTTTCAATTTCACTGCTCTAATATTACATTGCTTCAATAAGAGCCTTATAAGAGAGGCAGATATCAACCCTTCCTACATTCTCTCTTCTTCCTCTGCCACCCCCATATCTCTAGCCCCTATTCTTCTTTTTTCTGGTGTTAATCATTGGGTGTTTTTTGTTTTTTGTTTTTTTGTTTTAAGAGATGAGGAAATAGATTTAGATAAAGTTGGTTTTCCAAAGATCACAAAGAATATCAGTGTGGACAGAGGAGGTCACTATGTCACTGAAACATGGCATATTAAATTTCCAGTATAGCCCAGCATATTAAGAAGGGACTGACTCCTGCAAGTCATCCTCTGAACTCCACATGTGGTCATACAGTTTATAGAGCACTGGGAATAAACCCCAGGGCTTAGTGAGTGTAAAGGGCACATTTATAGAAAGAACTAGAGAAACCAGGATTGTGAGTTAAACAGACTTTCTTCAACCATCTGGAGCCTGCTGTCACCTCAATCTTGGACCCCCTACACCCTTTGCTTGAGACCTCCAAGAGAGCTCAGACCATCCACAGTTACTGACATTGAAATCTTGACCCACATACCCCCACTAGAAAAGTAAAGTAGAGAGACCCCCACCTGTACCCACTGGAAGAAGGGAAGGGAAGACAGCAGTACAAGAACACATTTAACAATAAAAAAAAACCAGTAAGACACCACCAGAATATAGGGACTCTATACCAACAAGACCTGAACATACCAACATAGACGAAGCAGAAGAGAATGACCTTAAAAACAACTTCATGAAAATGATACAGGCCCTCAAAGAAGATATGAGAAAATCCCTTACAAAAATTGGAAGAAATAGAGGAAAAGACGAACCAAAAAATGCAAGAAATCAACAAATCTCTTAAAGAAAGCAAGGAAAGCCAAGAAAACAAACAAACAAACAAACAAAAAAAAACAATCAAACAGATTAAGGAAACAATTCAAACAGTTCAAGACCTGAAAACTGAAATAGAGACAATAAAGAAAACACAAACTGAGGGAATGCTGGAAATAGAAAAGCAGTGTAAACGATCCGGAACTACAGATGCAAGCATAACCAACAGAATACAAGAGATGGAAGAGAGAATCTCAGGAGTTGAAGATACACTAGAGGAAAAAAATAGATTCATCAACCAAAGAACATCTTAAATCCAACAAATCCTTAACACAAAATGTCTAGGAACTGTGGGACACCATGAAAATACCAAACCTAAGAATAATAGGTATAGAAGGAGGCAAAGAAGTCAAGCTCAAAGGTGCAGAAAACATATTCAACAAAATCATTGAAGAAAACTTTCCCAATCTGAAGAGGGACATGCCTATGAAAGTACAAAAAGCATACCGAACACCAAATAGACTGGCCAAAACAAACAAAACAAAACAAAACAAACAAACAAAAAAAATCAAGTCCCCTTCCCACATAGTAATCAAGCCACCAAACAAGTCCCCTTCCTACCTACTAATCAAGACACCAAACATACAGAATAAAGAAAGACTATTAAGAGCAGCAAAGGGAAAAGACCAGGTAACATATAAAAGCAGATCTATCAGAATTACACCTGATTTCTCCATGGAAATACTGAACACCAGAAGGTCCTGGATAGATGTTCTACAAACACAAAGAGACCACGGATGCCAGCCCAGACTACTATACCCAGCAAAACTCTCAATCACTATAGATGGAAAAAAACAAGTTATCATGACAAAACCAGATTTGCACAATACATGTCCACAAATCCAGTCCTACAGAAAGTTCTGGAAGGAAAACTCAAACCCAAGGAAGTTAACTACACTCACAGAAACATAGGCAATCCTTTACCAGAAGCCAAAAGAAAAAAGCAGGTAAATCTACTCACTATACCACCACCAATAACAAATCCAAAATAAATAAGAATTAACAATCAATGGTCCCAAATTTCCCTCAATATTAATGGTCTTACCTTGCCTATAAAATGACATAGGTTAACAAAATAGATATGAAGACAGAACCCATCCTTCTGCTGCATACAAAAAACACACCTCACCTTCAAAACAGACATTACCTCAGAGTAAAGGGTTGGGAAAAGATTTTCCAATCAAATGGACCCAAGAAACAAGTGGGTGTAGCTATCCTAATATCTAGCAAATTAGACTTCAAACTAAAATCAATCAAAAGAGATGAAGAAGGTCATTTCATATTCATCACAAGAAAAATCCATCAGGTCCCAAATACAAAGGCACCCACATTCATAAAAGAAACTTTACTAAAATTCAAGTCACACATAAAACCTCACATGTTCATAGTGAGAGACTTTAACACCCCACTTCACCACTAGACAGGACCACCAGACAGAAATTTAATAAAGAAACAAAAGAACTAACAGAAGTTATGATCCAGCTGGGTTTAACAGACATCTATAGATCATTCCATCCAAACACAAAAGAATATACCTTCTTCTCAGCTCCATATGAACCCTTCTCTAAAATCGACCACATTTTCGGCAACATAGCAAACCTCAACAGATACAAAAAAACTAGAATAGTCCCCTGTATCTTATCAGACCACCATGCTTTAAAGTTAGAACTCAGCAACAACACAAATTGCAGGAACCCTACAAACTCATGGAAACTGGACAATGCACAATTGCATCATTCATGGGTCAAGGAAGAAATAAAGAAAGAAATTAAAGAGTTCCTAGAATGCAATGAGAATGAAGACACAACATACCCAAACTTATGGGATATTTTGAAAGCAGTACTAAGTGGAAAGTTCATTGCACTAAGTGCCCACATGAAGAAAATGGAGGTAGTCACATTAGAGAATTAACAGTACAACTGAAAGCTCTAGAAAAAAAGAAGCAAACTCACTTCAGAGGAGTAGACGCCAGGAAATAATAAAATTGAGGGATGAAATGAATAAAGTAGAAACAAAGAAAACAATTCACAGAATAAATGTAACAAAGAGTTGGTTCTTGGAGAAAATCAACAAGATAGACAAATCTTTATCCAAACTAATCAAAAAGCAGAGAGAGAACATGCAAATTAGCAAAATCAGAAATGAAAAGGGGGACATAACAGCAAACTCTGAGAAATCCAGAGATTCTTCAGGTCATACTTTGAAAACCTGTACTCCACAAAATTTAAAAATTCTAAGGAAATGGACAAATTTCTGGATAGATATGACTTACCAAAATTAAATCAACAACAGATAAGCAATTTTTAATAGACATAAAACCCCTAATGAAATAGAAGCAGTCATCAAAAGTCTTCCAACCAAAAAAGCCCAGGGCCAGATGGCTTCAGTGCAGAATTCTACCAGAAATTCAAAGAAGATCTAATACCAATACTCCACAAATTGTTCCACACAATAGAAGCAGAAGGTTCATTGCCAAACTCTTTTTATGAGGCTATAATTACCTTGGTACCCAAGCCACCTAAAGACACAACTAAGAAAGAGAACTACAGACCAATATGCCTCATGAACACTGACGAAAAAATACTAAAAAAAACCCAAAAAACAAAAAACTGGCAAATCAAATCCGAGAAATCATCCACTATGACCAAATAGGCTTCATCCCTGGGTTGCAGGGGTGGTTCAACATATGAAAATCTATCAATGTAATCCACAACATAAACAATCTGAAAAAGTAAAACCATATGATCATCTCACTAGATGCGTTTGACAAACTCCAACACCCATTCATGATAAAGGTCTTTGAGAGATCAGGGATAACAGGAACATACCTAAACAAAATAAAAAGCAATATATAGTAAACCAACAGCCAACATCAAACTAAATGGAGGGAAACTCAATGTGTTTCCCCTGAAATCAGGAACAAGATAAGGTTGTCCACTCTCTCCATCTCTTTAATATTGTATTTGAAGTTCTAGCTATAGCAATAAGACAACAAAAGGAGATCAAGGGGATACAAACTGGAAAGGAAGAAGTCAAACTTTCACTATTTGTAGATGATATGATTGTTTACATAAGTGACCTGAAAACCTCTACCAAGGAATTCCTACAGCTGATAAACACCTTCAGCAAAGTGGCAGGACACAAGATTAACTCAAAGAAATCAGTAGCCTTACTATATACAGACGATAAATGGGCTGAGAAAGTAATCAGAAAAACATCACCCTTTAAAGTAGCCACAAACGACATGAAATATCTTGTGGTAATGCTAACCAAACAAAAGAAAGACCTGCATAGCAAGAACTTTGAGTCTTTCAAAAAAGAAATTAAAGAAGATACCAGAAAATGGAACAATCTCTCATGTTCATGGATAGGCAGGATCAACATTGTAAAAATGACAATCTTGCCAAAGCAATCTACAGATTCAATGCAATCCCCATCAAAACCCTATATATTTTACTATGTTAAAGTTCAAACCCTTCTTTTTATTTTAGACAGAAAAGAGGATATGATGGGAAATGTCATTCTGTAAATATGTTATTCTTATTGGTTAATGAATAAAGCCCTATTGGCAAATAGGAAAGCAAGATAGGCAGGGCTAGGAGACAAGGAGAATTCAGGAAGAGGTAGGAGGGAGATTCAACATGTAGGACTAGTAGAGCACAACTCTGGATCCTCTCTCCGATAAAATAAGATCAAGTGGAAATACTTAGATTAATAGAAATGAACTAATATTTAAGACAGAGCTAGCCAATAAGAAACACTAGTAATAGGCCAACAGCTTTATATCTAATTCAGTGTCTCAGTGTGTTATTTGGGGCTGGTGCAGCTGTGGAACCACTGGCGGGAAAACTACTCATAACAGAAAGCATTTTCAACAAATGGTGCTGGCATAACTGGATACTGAGATGTAGAAGATTACAGATAGATCCTTATCCATTGCCATGCACAAAACTTAAGTCTAAATGGATCAAAGATCTCAACATAAATCCAGCTATGGAACCTCTTAGAATAGAAAGTGGGAGGTACCCTTGAACGAACTGGTACAGGAGATCATTTCGTAACATAACACCAGTAGCACAGACACTGAGATCAACAATAAATGAGACCTCCTGAAACTAAGAAGCTCCTGTAAGGCAAAGGACACAGTTAACAAGACAAAATTGCAGCCCACAGAATGGGAAAAGATCTCCACCAACCCCACATCTGATAGGGCTGTTTTCCAAAATATACAAAGAAGTCAAGAAGCTAGTCACCAAAACCACCAAACAATCCAATGAAAAAGTGGGGTACAGAACTAAATAGAGAATTCCCAATAGAGGAATCTAAAATGGCTGAAAGACACTTAAGAAATATTGTTCAACATCCTTAGCCATCAGGGAAATGCAAATCAAAACAACTTTGAGATACCATCTTACTCCTGTCAGAATGGCTAAAATCAAAAACACCAATGACAGTCTATGCTGGAGAGGATATGTAGAAAGGGGAACACTCCTCCATTGCTGGTGCAAACTTGTGCAGCCACTTTGCAAATCAGTATGGCGGTTCCTCAGGAAAATGGAAATCAGTCTACCACAAGATCTAGAAATTCCACTCTTAGGCATATACCCAAAAGATGCACATTCATGTAACAAAGATATCTGTTCAACTATGTTCATAGCAGCATTATTTGTAATAGCCAAAACCTGGAAGCAACCTAGATGCCCCTCAACTGAAGAATGGCTAAAGAAAATGTGGTACATTTACACAATGGAATATTACTCAGCAGGAAAAAAAAGGAATCTTGAAATTCACAGGCAAATGGATAGAACTGGAAGGAAACATCCTGAGTGAGGTAACCCAGTCATAAAAAAGACAAACATGGTGTGTACTCACTCATATATGGACTTTAGACATAGAGCAAAGGATTACCAGTCTACAATCCACACCACCAGAGAAGCTAGGAAACAAGGAGGACCCTAAGAGAGACATACATGGTCTCTCACAAAAGGGGAAAGGGACAAGATCTCCTGAGTAAATTGGGAGCAGGGGGCGGGAGGGGAGAGGGAGTTAGGAGAAAGAGAAGGGGAGAAGAGAAGGGGAGAGGAGAACATGAGGGAGCAGGAAAACTGAGTCGAGGAAAGAACAGAGAACAAGAAAAAAGATACCATAATAGAAGGAGCCATTATAGGTTTAAAGAGAAATCTGGCACTAGGGAAATGTCCAGAGACCTAGAAGGATGACCCCAACTAACAATCTGAGCAACAGTGGAGAGGCTACCTTAAATGCCCTTCCCTGATAATGAAACTGATGACTACTTTATATGCTGTCCTAGAGCCCTCATCCAGTAGCTGTTGGAAGCAGAAGTAGACACCCACAGCTAAATACTGAGCTGAACTCCTGGGATCCAGTTGCAGAGAGGGAGAAGTGATGAGCAAAGGGGTCAGGACCAGGCTGGAGAAACCCACAGAAACAGCTGACCTGAACAAGGGGGAGCTCATGAATCCCAGACTGATAGCTGGGAAACCAGCTTAAGACTGACCCAGACCCCTGAATGTGGATCTCAGTTAGGAGGCCTGGGAAGTGTATGGTACTTCTGATAATGGAACCAGGATGTATCCCTAGTGCAGGAACAGACTTTGGGAGCCCATTCCCCATGGAGGGATACTCCTTTAGCCTAGAGACATGGGGGAGGGCCTAGGTCCTACCCCAAATGACTTGACAGATTTTGATGATCCCTCATGGAAGGCCTCACCCTCCCTGGGGAGTGGATGGGGGGCATGGGAAGATGAGAGGGAGAGAGAACTGGGATCCATATGTAAAATAAGAAAAAAATATATTAAAACAACAACAAAAACAAAACAAAACAACAACAACAAAAAACAGGCTTTCTTCATCAAAGGAAGGAAACAATGCCTCTTCACTGGAAGGCAAGAGTGGATGGATGTTGTCTACTGACCTGGTGATCTTTTGCTATCCTATGGAGCCAGCCTTCACCTGAATCCCAAAAAATCCTAAGCATTTTCTCTCATTCAATAGAACCCATCTTTATGCTTTTTTACAATCCTTCCTCCCTAGGCCCATGTTTAGGAGCATAGCTCACAGGTAAAGAAATTACTTGGCATATGGAAGACTCTGTGTTTGACCACCACCACCACAGAAATAAGGAACTAATTCTTCAAAGGTTTTCAAAAACAGCTTGGCTTTTTGGAAAAGAAGAATTAATTTTATGAGAGTTTGCCTATATATGTTTATGTGCATCATGTGTGTGGTGCTCACTGGGACCAGAAGAAGGTAGTGGACCCCCTTGGAACTGAATTAGCGATAGCTGAGAGCCACCATGTGGGTTCTAGAAAATGAATCCAGGTCTCCTACGAAAGGAGCAAGTGCTCTCAACCACTGAGCCATTTAAAAAGCAAACAAACTACAATAACAACAAGAAAAAACCCCAGCTTTACCTTTAATCATTCATGTGCTTCAATTTTAAAATACTTATTGAATAATTTTATGAATCAAAATACAACTTAGTCTTCTGGACATTTTATAACTTAACATCATTTTGTAGTGTTTTTTTTTTTTTTTGTTTCAACACAGGGTTTCTCTATGTAGTCCTGGAACTCACTCTATAGACCAGGCTGGCCTCTGCCTCCCATGTGTTTGGATTAAAGGCATTTTTGAGTTTTTTTTTTTAATGTTTTCTTTATCACAGTGGCTATAGCTCATCACTAATATAGCCATGCTTATGATAATGTATAAAGGTTACTTAAGGACAACCTGAAAAAAATGGTATGTGACAAAAATAGAGATTTGAAACGACAGATTTATTAAGCACTTTAGAGATATTATGTTACAAATGTTATTAGAACACATGAAGATGGCAAGGTATAAGGTGCAGAAAGAACAAACCAGAGTATCCTGGGGATGGACTCTGACAGTTCCATCTATAGGGTACTCTTGTTTACAAACTTCAGAGAGTCCTAGTTAGAGCATTAAATACACATTGATCACGACACATTGGTTTCTTCAGGACAGAGCAGGTGAAATTAAGTTAAAGTGTATTTCATCTTCATGGCTTGTTAGAAAAGAAGACATTGTTTAGATTTCTGGGTAAGAGCAATAGCTAGCAATCCCACAATGATTTTTATTATTTCTTGACATCCGAATATATCCTTGATCACCAAAGTGAAGGCCCCAGCTATAAAAAGAGAAAGAACACAAAATTATAAATTCACATAATAAAACAGTATTATCAATAATTTTTATCTCTTTGCTTCCCCTAAAACACTTACCTATTTTAATTAATTAATTATATGTGGGGCAGTGAGTAATTCCTCAGGCTATGAATGCTCATCCTTGTTGCTATGGTGACCAGCATCCTAACTGCGAGAGCCCCCTCCCATCCCCTCCCCGCGACAGTGACGATGGAGCTGACACTTGTGTGCACATGTATTACCTGTTTTTCACAAGCCAGTAGTCTTTCCCATCAAGGCTCCCATAGCCAACCACTAGTACACCATGATTTACGTTCTCAGTACAGGAGGGGTCATCATAGATACCTGTGAATAAAACACAGACAGGAAAGAGGCAAGTGCTACAGGATAACACAACATACTTGGACACTTGACTGCTTTTTATAAGGATCTTGGAGATATGACAAAGTGATTTAGACATCACAGTTGTTTGACATTGATACTATCCATTTCCCTGACAAGTCTGAGACCGATCCATAGCTCCCTCAGAAAATTTATTGTATTATTTCATTCAGCACATTTTTCTTCTCAATATTCATTTATTTATTATGAATACAACATTCTGCCTCCATGGATGGCTGCACACCAGAAGAAGGCACCAGATCTCATTATAGATGGTTGTGAGCCACCATGTGGTTGCTGGGAATTGAACTCAGGACCTCTGGTAGAACAGCCAGTGCTCTTAACCTCTGAGCCATCTCTCCATCCCCCAAGCACATTTTTCTAATTCTCCTAATTTATGTGCAATCAGTTGTATTTTTTTGTATAAGTCCACAACTTGTTTTGTCCGCTTTGAGCCTTTTCTAAATTAAATTCTCCTCAGTGCATATTGTAGTTTCCTATTGTGTATAATATAGAGTTCTGTATTTAGTGGACTCTCAGGGATTGTGTTATTAAGCTTCGTGTGATGGCATATATAGTTCTAAGTGTCAACCTTAGAGAAGTGTTATGTGCCCTCCTTTAAGTTTCCGTAGTGATTGAGGCCAGGGTGGCACATAGGCCCCCTAACTGGCCTCAAACTTGATAAGTAGTCAAAGTGACTTTGAACTTTTGGTCCCCCGCCCCCCGCCTGCATTTCCCAAGAGTTGAGATGACAGGCTTGTAGCACTGTTCCCGATCTATATTTGTGCTGGGGATTGAACCTGAGGCTTCACGTATAGTGAGCAAACATTTTACTACCTGAGCCACATTCCCATTCCCAAATTCTTTTTCTAATCAACAAATAGTATTCCACGTTGTATGTGCGCCACCATTTCTTTATCCACTCATCAGTTGATGGTCACTTAGGTTGCTGAAGTTATACTGCACTGAACTTGAGAGATGTCTTTTCATTATACTGATTTAATTTCTTTGGGATGTATTCCTGGCAGTGGAATTGCTGGGTCAAATGATAGTTCTGTTTTTTATCTCTTGGGGTAATTTCTATATATTCTAAATAAGAATTTATATTCTTATGATCAGAGTGCAAAGGTTCCCTTTTCTTCATGTCACCAAAATTAGGTTATCTTTTATTTATATGTTTGTTTGAGACATGTCTTGATATGTAGTCCTGGCTGGTTGGGAATTCTCACTCTATAGTCTCACTCTATAGACTTTACACAAGTCAACTAAATTATTTGGGGGAAAGGAACCTCAGTTGAGAAAATGCCTCCATCTGCCTCCATCTGGCACAGCCATATTGATGGGGACAGCAAAAGTCATAAGGCCAGCATAGCTGTTTGACAAAATCCAACAAAGCTGAGCCACATGATGGCGTCTGTTTCCACCTATTGCAGACTTGGGACTTGGGGACTGGTTTTTTGTTTGTTTGTTTGTTTGTTTTTGTTTTTTTTTTTTTTGGTTTTTTTGAGACAGGGTCTCTCTGTGGCTTTGGAGGCTGTCCTGGAACTCGTTCTTGTAGACCAGGCTGGTCTCGAACTCACAGAGATCCGCCTACTTCTGCCTCCTGAATGCTGGGATTAAAGGTGTGCAAAACCACTTCTTGGCTGAGCCTTTTAATATTTGTACAATTTAGAAATATTGGATTGATGGGAAATTTCTTATTGATCATTCATGCCTTCTCCCAGGAATTCTGCTTCTGAGCTTCCCAGGACAGTCCTGAACACTCTACCCCTGCCGCTTTTAGGGAGATCTCCTTATCTACTTGAAGGTCTTCCTTATTAAGCCTTGGAGGCTGTGACACACATAAAGAAGCCAGAGGCTACGAGACACTCTTGAGACATCTGCCCCTGTCCTTACACAGGAACAAGATTTCCAAAACAAAGTAAACTCAAAAAGGACAGCAAGATTCGGTGGGCTAGAGGAGTTGGCCACAGTTCAGATTCCCACTATATATTCAGGTGATTACATGGCATATACAATGAAATTAGATTAGCTGAAGTTACCTCTGTCCTACATAGACTTATACTGATGGGCAAAGAATGATGTAGAAAGATGGTAAACACATTCCACAAAATGTAAGCATTGTAATATGTCAAAATTTGAATAATAACTGCAGCAGCTTTGGCCTGAGGATATTTTGTGGGCACTCTGACCATTAAGAATTAATTGTGCACACTTGGGACATGGTAGCATGCCTGGGATGGCTTGAAGATTATTTTGGTCTAGTGTCCTTGTACCCACAAAAGCTACCAGCCTGAAAACAGGTTGTCCTATGCCTCTAGTTTTTGTTTTTTTGTTTGTTTTTGTTTTCTGAGACAGGGTTTTTCTGTAGTTTTGGACCCTGTCCTGGAACTCGCTTTGTATTCCAGGCTGGTTTTGAACTTATAGAGATCTGCCTGCCTCTGCCTCCCAAGTGCCGTGATTAAAGATGTGCGCCACTATCGACCATTGCCTTTTAGATTCTTAAAAATTGGGTTATGGGGTTGATGAGTAAAAATAGTTATTTAAGGTAACTTTATCAATGATGTCAAAACTTGAAGAAAAATGATTGGATATGATAATACTGTTCTGTCATGGTTTATTAATGATGACTAAAAGATGAATAAGAGAAAATGTTAAACACATGTTCCAAAACAAAAATTATATGACTTATGTTTTGGAACAACATGAATGTGTCCCTGCTTACTGAATTCTGTATAAATAAAGAAGCACTCAGGCTGCTAGTCAGTCAGACTGCAAGATTCTCCCAACCACCATGGCCTGGCTCACTTCCTTCCCTCGCCAACTCTTTACCCTCTGCTGGGGCCTGTCCACCACTGAGGATGGCTCCCAGCATCCCTCAGATTGGCTTGAAGGCAAGTCTACAGGTCATTTCCTTGAAAGAAAAAAAAAAAAAAAAAAAAAAAAAAAAGATTGGTGTGGGAGGGTCCAGCCTACTGGGGGTGGAGCCACCCTGGGTAGGTACTCCTGGGTGGAATGAGAAAACAGAAGAAGCCATGGGAGGGAGCAAGTCAGTAAGCAATGTCTTCCAGGGTCTCAGCGTCAGCTCCTGCTTTGGATTCCCTTGAAGATGGACTTTGAATTGTAAGGCAAATAAACTTTCCTTCCCAAATTGTTTTTGGTCAGAGTTTTAACACAACAATAGAAGCCTAACAAGGCCGCCCAGGCTGGCTTCAAACTCGAGGCAATCCTCCTGCCTCTGACTCCCAAGGGCTAGAATAACAAGCATGTGCCACCATCCCTGGCTGTGTTTTTGAGACAGGGTCTTGCTGTTCTGTTTTGTTGGTCTGGGGTCTGTTTTTATGCTGACACCATGCCTTTTGGTTGCTGCAACTCGGGAATGTAGTCTCTTGCTTTGTTCCCTTTGTTAAAACGGCTTTGGCTATTGAGGGTTTTCATGGTTTCACACACTCTTTAGGATTATTCTATTTAATTTTGTGAAGAATTTGATTGATATGTGACTCCATTCCATAAACAGAGATGTGGCTTTTGCCTCTGGGTGCATCCTTTGGAGTCTCACTATAGCGTCTTCTGCTCTCTGGATACATATATTATTATTAGCCCCCCTCCCACCACCCGTTGTAAGTGGAAGTCAGTTTTTGATTTCTTAGTTCATACAATGTACTCTTGGTGGATTTAAAAAAAAAAAAAAACCATTTGTTTGCTTTGTTTTTGCTTTTTCATAGAGTCTCACTGTGTAGCCCAAGCCTCAATCTTGTCATCCCTCTACCTCTGCCTCCCAAATGCTAAGATTACAGACAGACATGCTCACCACACCTAGCCACAACTCATTTTCATGTATGGATTGTATAGTATGTCTCATGGTTTTTGATTGCATACATTTTAATCCTAGCACCACCATTTTCAGGCTGAGTGGCTTAGTCAGGCCAACACTTTTTTCTTTAAAGATTTATTGTTTATTATTTTATGTGTATGAGTGTTTTGCCTGGATATGCACCACATGCCTGCTTGGTGCCTGAGGAGGTGGGAATTGATTCTGGGTCCTTTGCAACAAGAAGTGCTCTTAACCACTGAGCCAATTCTTCAGCCCCAAGGCAGATTAGCATTGCCAAGTGTGTAAATTAGGGTTACTGAGTGGATGGAATAAGCTACATGAAGAACTTAGTGAAGTGGTACTAACAAGCTTTCACCAGTGGGATTCATCAGTCAGAAGGAGGTATGTGGTGCTCAGCTACACCAAACATAGCGGAAAACAAGAGGCCAGTGCCTTCATTTTTACCACTTTTGTAGAGGAAGAAGGAAGGATGGCTGGCATCAATGGCCACAGACACAGGTCCTTTATTAGCCACAGCTTCTTTAAGAGCCTCTTCATCACCAAAGGGGAGCTCCATATACCTTGAACATGTGGCAGCTCGACTTTTTGAGTCATAGTGACATTTTTCATCCTAGAAATAAACAAGCATAAAGTCTGCTTCAACTTTCTGGATTTCAAACATGATTCCTCCCGATCCCCCTACTTTACCCCTTTCAACAGGCTAAGATCCTCCCTCCCTCTTTCCCCCCTCTCTCCACCCCCTCTTTATTGTTTTGCTCTGGGTTTTTCTACTGTTTGTTTGTTTAAACACTGTGTCAAACTGGATAAGGTAGCACAGGCTTATAAGCCAGGTTCTGGGCCAGCTGGAGCTATAACCCCCAGAGACAGCACTTCAGAAGCAGAGGCAGGTGGATCTCTATGAGTTCAAGGCCAGACTGGTCTACAGAGTGAGTTCCAGGACAGCCAGAGCTATATAGTGAGACTGTCTTAAAAGCAAAAAAACAAAAAACCAGGAGGCTGCAAACGTATGTTGGTTAAATATATGATTGTGTTTCTCCTTAAAATCCTAACAGAAAAAGTGACTGAAAGAAACAAACCAAAGTAATAGTGCCTAAGGTAGAAAGTTTTCAAGTGATAATTTTTTTAAATGTGATTTTGTTTTGTTTTGTTTTTGAGACAGGGTATTTCTGTATAGTCCTGGCTGTCCTAGAACTAGCTCTGTGGACCAGGCTGGCCTCAAATTCAGAGATCTGCCCACCTCTGCCTCCCAAGGACTGGGATTAAAGGCACCACTGCTTGGCTAAAATGTGATTTTTTAAAAAAAATCTAATTTTATTTTTTATCTGTGTGATGGTGCCAGATGCCCTGGAGCTGGAGTTACAGATGGTTGTGAGCTGCCATGTGGGTGCTGGGAATTGAACCCAGGTCTCTGGAAGAGCAGCCAGTGCTCTTAACCCCTGAGCCACCTCTGTAAGGCTCTAGGCATTATGTTGGCCTGCCCCAGTCACCTGGCAGAATGCACTCAGGCAGGGCAGTTCCCTGGCCAGCCCAGGGTTCCATGACTACTAGTATACATGCAGGTGCAAAGGACCCCTTTAACAGACAGAGACAGCCCCCCTTATATTCTCTCTTTCCTGCTGTTCCCCTGAGGCAACAGGACTTTTCCTGGCTCCATCTTCTCTTCAGCCCTCTCTGTGTCTCTTTACCTCTTTCCTCCCCACTCCCTCCCCTTTCTAATAAAACTTCTCACTTAAGCTCTGTCTGCTTGATGTGTGTGTCCCTCTGCCTCGGTCAAACTTACCTGTCATGGAATCCCCCAAGGTTCCCCTTGCATTGTATCGTAACAACCTCTTTAGCCCCTAAAATGTGATTTTTTTCATTGCATTTATTTATGCGAGTGTGAGGTCAAAGGATGACTTACAGGACTTGGCTCTCTCCTATCATGTGGGACCAGTGATCACACTCAGGTTGTCAGACTTGGCCTAGGTGCCTTCACCTAATGAGCCATCTTACCAGCCCTGGAGGGATAATTTTTCTTTTCTTTTCTTTTCTTTCTTTCTTTCTTTTTTTTGTTATATTATTCAACAAAATTTATAAGAAAACAAAATAAAAATCTTGCAGCAAGGAGGATAACATTATTAAGCCTTCTAAGTGGGAGACCGAGCTTGCTGATGCCCTGAGAATATCATTAAGCATTGAAGGTTGCAGAACTAAAAAGTTAAATATCAGATAATACACAACAGAAGGCTTTTAAAAGTGTTTTTTTTTTTTTTTTTTTTTTTTTTTTTTTTGCTGAGTGTTGGTAGTGCACACCTTTAATCACAGCACTCAGAGGCAGAGGCAGGATTATCTCTGGGAGTTCGAGGCCAGCCTGGTCTACAGAGTGAGTTCCAGGACAGGCTCCAAAGCTGCAGAGAAACCCTGTCTTGAAAAACAACAACAACCAAAATAAATAAATAAAATAAAACCAAAATCCCCACAAATTTTTCTTTAAGCCTGTATTTAAGTATGAATGCTACCTTCTTGTTTGAAAATAGTTTCTTCTTAGAGCTTGGCGGCAAACCCCTATAACCCAACACTTGAGAGGCATAAGCAGAGGGTACAGAGATTCAGAACCTCTGCAGCTATGAAGGGAAGTGAATTGGAGACCAGACTGGACCGCAACATAAGTCCCTGTAACAACCAAGGATCAAAACCCCACGGGTAGATGACGAAGGTCACTGCGTGTCAAAGAGAACTCTTGCTACTGAAGAGCTGCTGAGGGGCTTCTAGAAGGGGTCAAGCTGGTGTGGCAGGGGTGGGAAGGAAGTCACGTACCATGGCTTTGTAGGGATAGGAAGCATCTGAGTCGATGCCGCCATTATCGATGATGTACTGAAAGGCCTGCGTCATGTAGCCACCCCCACAGCCTTTATTCCCGTATTTTTCTTCTGTTGAACAGTCCACCAGGTTCTGTGCGCTGAGAGACACCAGCTTCCCTGTCTTCAGCTTCAGCTGCGCTTCCAGGGCCCCCACGGCACTGAAAGCCCAACAGGACCCACAAGAACCCTGAAACACAGAAGTCGGTCTCAGAATCAGTAAGGAGAGTTTCCGTAGCGCAAAGGGTGGCTCCAGCTCTGCCTCCTGCATTGTCCAGGCAAGGCCCTGTCCTGGTGGAGAGAGTTAGATTACAGCAGGCACTTGGAATGCACTGGCAGTACAACCAAGCATGTTCAAAGTCCCAACTATCTTCTCCTCTAAGGAAAGGGATGCAACGGGTTTCAGGTCTTAAACCCAGGACAAGTGGCTGACGTGCCTGTTTAACACATCAAAGCAGACCTGGTCACAGGTTCTCCCAGCATCCCTCAGCGCCTACCTGTTACAGAGCATGGCTGGCATACCCCATCCCCTACTGTAAATTTCTCCAGCTCAGGGGTTGGGCTGCCCTTCCCCCAGCTGTCTTTTCTTATGTAACTCAGCTACTTTGGTTACCCGGCCCTTTCAGTTTAACCCTTTACTCCCCTCTCCCCTCCCCACCATCCTCCCATGGTCCTGCTCAGGGTCATGTTCACTCTGGCCTCTCCAGATGTCCCTGCCTCTGCCTGTGTTCTCCCTCACGTCTACAATAAACCTTCTCCTCCTCCATACCTAGGAGCACCCACGCTCTTCCTTTTTCAATTCTTTTTTTCCATTCAATGGGAAAGTGATTTTGAGAGGAGACAGCATGACTCGGGGCCAACTGAACAGCACAGGAGGGACACAGGGAGAGAGGTCTTCAGTTGGGGGATATTTGATCGCACTGTGAACCCCCAGTTTGCATTAGCATTAATTAAATAAGACTAACCTTGGATCAGGAGGCTGCATTAGCAACTGTTGACAGAAAGTAATCATAGAGAATGAGGGGGCATGCAGGAGAGACACACAGGAAGCAGTAGGGAGGGATTTGGAGTAACACATCTTTTTCTGGTTTAGCGAAGGAGAAGCACGGGTCTTTCGGAGACTCCAGCAAGTAAAGAAGGTCAGCTGTTTGCGACTCGGCCTTGATGGAACAGAATTCCCACCAGGCTGTGGCCCACGCAGCCAGGACACTGCCAGAGAAGCAGGCTGGTAACTGTGGAGCTGTCACTGCTGGCTGAGGTGGCACTGGATTAAGGCGCAGCCACTGTGCCGAAGTTGAAACAACACACGTTTGTATTCTGTGCACCTCACATAGTAGAAAGGAGCCTCCATTGCACATTGCAAACTGAGGCTAGGACATACAGTGAATGGCTGACTGTTCAGTCCGTGCTCTAACCCAGGTGACACCATACAAGGACAGCAAGGCTCAGCGGCCTGAGAAGCGGGCAAGCCAGCTACCCAGAGAGGCGGCAATGAGACCTGTTCAGGAGGTGGTAGGGAGGGGGCACTAATACCAAAGTGTCACAGACCACTTGAGCAGAGGCTAAGGCTCAGCTTTGGAATGACTGCCTGCCTTCACCTCCATTCCCTATAAAGCCAGCTGCCAGAGTAGTGATGTAAGGCAGATTTCCAGAATGTTCACCTGCTACCTTCTCAGGCCACTAATTCTCATAATAAAATGCAGCCTAAAGATTCAGCTCCTGGGACTGGAGGCATGGCTTCTCTTGCAGAGGACCAGGTTTTGGTGCCCCGTATCCACATGGTAGCTCACCACTTTCAGTAACTCCAGTTCCAAAGGATCTGATGCCTTCTTCTGATCTCTGCAGTCATTGCATGCATGTGGTACACATACACACACACACACACACACACACTCTCTCTCTCTCTCTCTCTCTCTCTCACACACACACACACACACAGACAGACAAAATGTGCACACATTAAATAAATTTAAAGTTTGTTTAAAGATTCAGTCCCTATTTCTGATCATTGATATTTGTGATGTTAGGCGTTCTTGAACTCCAGTGTTCTGTCACAAAATGATGCCTCACACAAAAGGGATTTAACTCTACAGTAACTGTTTTCAAACATTATTATCATAGAGTCTAAAAAATTGTTTTAGTATGTATATGTTTGTGTATGTGCAGATGCCCTCAGAGGCCAGAAGAGGGCACTGGATCTCTTGAGTCCAATATTACAACGTGGGTTGCTGGTTGTAGGTATTGGAACCAAACATAAGTCCTCTGGGAGAGCAGTCAGTGTTCTCAACTGCTGGACCAACTTTCTAGTTTCTGTGCTTAGAAGTTTTTGATCACCTGAGCAGTGATGGCTCACACTTTTAATGCAACACTCAGAGGCAGGTGGATCTCTGTGAGTTTGAGGCCAGCCTGGTCTACAGAGAAATTTCCTGGACAGCCAGGTCTATACAGAAAAACCCTGTCTTGAAAAACCAATAATAATAATAATAATAATAATAAAAATAAATTTTTATCAAAAATATTGTGCTGGCTTAGCATGCAAATTATATATTTGATAAGGGGTTAAGATCCAAAATATGGAGGGAGCTTAGTTTCATTGTTGTGAGTTTGAGGCCAGCTTGGGCTGTGTATATAAGCCAAAATAAAGACATAAGTAAAGCCAAGCCAAACAACAAAACCCCTTAGATTTAGTTGGAAACCAGGGTGGTGGTGGTGAACACCTTTAATCCCAGCATTTGGGAGGCAGAGGCGCATGGATTGTCATGAGTTTGAGGCCAGCCTGGCTTGCAGAGTGAGTACCAGGAGAGGCTCTAAAGCTACACAGAGAAACCCCGTCTCAAAAAAACAAAACAAAACAAAACAAAATTTAGTTGGAAAGACGGGATAATAAAAATGAGCAGAAAGTAGTAGCCAAGAGGCAGTGGGGATCACTACAGGGATGTGTAGGGAGAGGTAGGAGTGCCAGGGCCAGGGTTCAGCTGTGACACTCACCTGGTATTTCACTTCCGTGACACACCCCTTCTCTCGCCAGTCCATAGAATCAGGCAGCTTCTGATTAGGGGTTGACTTGTAGGTGCTGTTTCTCTGCCGCTGGCTGGGAAGTCTCAGGGAGTTCATCTGACAAAGGACCTCTTCACTGGTCTGCAAAGCGAGGAAAGAGTACATTTCCCTTAGAGCCTCTTTTCTTGTGCATGCGTTTGTGGGGGCTGGGACATGTGTGCCATGGCTCACATGGGAAGTCAGGGGACAAGTGCCTCTACCTGGTGATGCTGGCTCCTATCTTTTTCTTTTTTTTTTTAATCCTAAGAATTGTAACAAGATTATATTTTAAAACTAAGAGAATGAGTTGTTGTGAGACAAACTGTGGGGAGAACTGTCTATGGAAGATGACAATGTAAGTACTTTTCTTTAATCTTGCTCTTTTCATTAGTGACACAATGTAAACAGAGAGAAGGAGAAACTAGAAGTTACAGATTTTTGATTAAAAGGAATCTTTTTGTTGCTGTTTTTTTTTTTTTGTTTGTTTGTTTGTTTGGTTGGTTGGTTTTTTCAAGACAGGGTTTCTCTGTGTAACATCTCTGGCTGTCCTGGAACTCGCTCTGTAGACCAGGCTGGTCTCTAACTCAGAGATCCACCTGCTTCTGCCCCTAGGGCTTGGATTAAAGGTATGTGCCACCAACTTCCTGTTCTCCTCTCTTTATGGTGGCCCTAGGAATGAAACCCAGGGCTTTGAACGCAGGGGAGAAGTGTACTCTGCCACTGAGCCACACCGCGGGCCTGGCTATACAGTCTCCTCTGGTGTTGTCATTCCAGTGTACCTTCCTTAGTCCTGGTGATACAGAGATCACACGCCCAGTCATAAAGTACGAACTGTTTGTGATTTACCTACCATGTCTCCCATATGGTTCATGCCCAGGCTATATGAATGCATTTCCAAAGAATGTTCTAGATTGTGAAGCATCACAAATTTCAGATTCTTTTCCCAGATGAGGCGCCGTGCTTCTTCTTCATTCTGAAACAGAAGGAAAATGAATGCAAGTGGAATTTTTTTATTAACTTAAATATTATCTCTGTGCACATGTTTCTCTCTGTCTCACTCGTGTGTGTGTGTGTGTGTGTGTGTGTGTACAGTGCGCAAGTGTGTGTAAATTCAGGTATCCACAGAGGCCATAAGAGGGCATCAGATTCTGTGACTAAAGTTTCAGGTGGTTGTGAGCCCCCAAAGTGGGTGCTGGGAACTAAACGTGGGTCCTCTGCAAGAGCATCAAGTGCTCTAAACTGCTGAGTCATCTTTACAGTGTCCCAGATAGTATTCTACTAAATGTAGACATATCTAGAAGCATATAAACAAATGAATACATCCAAAACAATTGCTAAAATCACATTTTAATTTAAATTCTTGCTCTTAATTTCTTTGTGCTTATTTATATATGATATGCATAATAAATTTCCTCCTTTACTTATTGTGAAGTTGCTTCTTAACACTCTAAACCTTATAAACTTGTTTGATATGTGTCCCTTACAGGTAACATGCTCTATCTAATCCTTCTAGATATTTGAGGAGGCCTAACTTAACATTAGTGCAACCATGATAGGCTGCAGGCTAGCAATACAGGGCTAGGTCTCACCCTTACAATGGCTCCAAGGGACCAATCAGAATAGAGACAAACAAGTTCCAGATGTTCCAGAACGTTAAAGATAACTGATATAACTTATATACAGGTTGCCAATTTCCTTGCAGCAATGCCAACACCAATCCCTATTTGATAGGCCTCCTGTTGCTCTAGTCCTGCCCAACCAGGAATTCAACCCCCATTTGAACCCAGAATTCCCCTACTCCCCACATCATTTACTCCTTAAAAACCCTGCCACAACTGAGCTAAGGGCTCTCTGTTCCACAGGCTGCATTGGAATGGATGGAGGGTCCAAGCTGGAGCTTGCAATAAAGGCTCTTTGCTTTTGCATATGAACTTGGACTCTTGGTGGTCTCTGGGGGTGAGGTGTGGGGAGGGACCACACTCATGACTTAGGCAAACATTTTTCTTTCTTTCTTTCTTTCTTACAAAAAAAAAAAAAAAAAAAAAAAAAAAAGGACATGGTCTTGTTATTGTTATGTAGCCCTGACTATTCTACTTACTCTTGTCTAGGCTGACCAAAGACTTCCTGTGTAGCCCATGCTGGCTACTCTCAATACTGTGCTATGCCTACCTACTGGGTTCTGAAGTTGTGCAAGTGTGTCATCACACCTGGCTCCAGTACCACTGTTCTAACTGGGCTCATTTGCTTCTGTAGTTTTTTTTTCTTAAAAGTTTTGTGATTGTTTATATGTGTCCGGTTGTGGAGTTTTACATGTTTTCCTCTTAAGCTTGGTTTGATGACTCTGGATTATTTTTATAGCTGAAAATTCTGAACAGCATATTTCATGCATCATTTATCCACCATTCTGTTTGACTCTTAAGTGCACTCAGGAGACTCATAAACTCTCATGTCTCCTGCTTTTGTAAATGGACTCTGCTCCATTTTACTTCTGTATGGTGCTTTATGCGTGGATGTCTCAGAACTATTTTCAAGATTATTGATTTGGGCTGTGTGGTGGCCCACACCTTTAGTCCCAGCACTCAGAGACAGAGGCAGGCGGATCTCTGTGAGTTTGAGTCCAACCTGGGTCTACAAAGCTACACACACAAACCCTGTCTTGAAAAACCAATAAGGAAAAAAGGGGGAAAAACCCACACACAAAATCACCACTAGCAAATCCAAAACAAACAAGAATTAACAGACAATGATCAGTAATATCTCTCAATATCAATGGTCTTAACTCACGTATAAAAAGGATATAAGCTAACAAAAAGAATACAAAGACAGAAACCATCCTTTTGCTGCATACAAGAAACAAACCTCAACTTCAAAGACAGATGCTTCCTCAGAGTAAAGGGCTGGGAAAAGATATTCTAATCAAATGGACCTAAGAAACAAGCTGGTACAGCTATCCTAATATCTAACAAATTAGACTTCAAACTAAAATTAATCAAAAGAGATGAGGAAGGGAATTTCATATTCATCATAGGAAAAGTCTATCAAGATGAAGTCTCAATCCTGAACATCTATGTGCCTAACACAAATGCACATTCATAAAAGAAACATTACTAAAACTCAAATCACACATAAAACCCCATACAGTTATACTAGGAGACTTCAACACCCCACTCTCACCACTGGATAGGACTACCAGACAGAAACTTAGCAAAGAAACAAAGGAAATAATAGAAGTCATGACCCAATTGGGTTTAACAGACATCTATAACACAAAAGAATAGACCTTCTTCTCAGCATCACACAGAACATTCTCTAAAATCAACCACATATTCAGCAACAAAGCAAACCTTGACAGATACAAAAAAAAAAAAAAAAAAAAAAAAATGAAATAGCCCCCTGTATCTTATCAGATCACCATGTCTTAAAGCTAGAATTTAACAAATTGCAGAAAATCTACAAACTCATGAAAATTGAACAGTTCTGAAATTGCATCACTCTTGGGTCAAAGAAAAAATAAAGAAAGAAATTAAAGACTTCCTAGAATTCAATGAGAACGAAGACAAACATAACCAACTTTGCTAGAGCAAAGTTCATTGCAAGTGCCCACATGAAGAAAATGGAGAATAGTCACACTAGAGAATTAACAGCACACCTGAAAGTTCTAGAACAAAAATGATGGGAGATATCACTCTGTAAATATGTTTCTCTTTTTGGTTAATGAATAAAGCACTGTTGGCAAATAGGAAAGCAAGATAGGTGGGACTAGGTGACAAGGAGGATTCTGGGAGATGTAGTAGAGAGGAGTTAAGATGCAGGTCCTGAGAGAAGAGGTCCGAACCCTCTCTCCAGTAAGATAACACCACATGGAAACAGTTAGATTGATAAAAATTGGTTAATATTTAAGACAGAGCTATCCAATAAGAAGCTCTAGCCAATGGCCAACAGCTTTATAACTAATAGAGTCTCTGTGTGTTATTTTGGGGCTGATACAGCCCTGGGACCAGGCTAGCAGGAAACTACTTGTAACACAAAAAGAAGCAAACTCACCCAGGAGGAATAAACTGCAGGAAATCATCAAATTGAGGGCTGAAATTAATGAAGTAGAAACAAAGAAAACAATACAAAGAATTAATGAAACAAAAAGTTGGTTCTTTGAGAAAAATCAACAAGATAGACAAGGCAGAGAGAGATCATTCAGAAATGAAAAGGGGAACATAACAATGAACACAGGAAATACAGAGAATCATCAGATCATACTTTGAAAAACTGTACTCATCAGGATTTCTGCATCATCTTAGAATCCACCATGATAGCGCCTCTTACCAGCAGGAAGTAGTTTGGAAAGAATGACACTCAAATATTGTCTATAAATGTTTGTTTTCATTTAAATGGACTTGGTTATAAAAAAAAAAGAAAAGAAAAACTGTACTCACAAAATTTGAAAATTTAAAGAAAACGAATAATTTTCTGGATAAATATCACTTACCAAAACTAAATCAAGAACAGATAAGTAATTTAAATAGACTTATAACCCCTAATGAAATAGAAGCAGTCATCAAAAGTCTCCCAACCAAAAAAAGCCCAGGGCCAGATGGCTTCAGTGCAGAATTCTACCAGAAATTCAAAGAACAGCTAATACCAATACTCCTCAAAGTGTTCCACACAATAGAAGCAGGAGGATCATTGCCAAATTCTTTTTACGAGGCTACAATTACGTTGGTACCCAAGCCACACAAAGACACAACTATGAAAGAGAACTACAGACCAATCTCTCTCAAGAACATTAATGTTAAAATACTGGCAAATGGAATCCAAGAATACATCAGAAAAATCATCCATTATGATCAAGTAGACTTCATCCCAGGAATGCAGGGATGGTTCAACATATGAAAATCCATCAATGTAATCTACCATATAAACAAATTGAAAAAGAAAAACCACATGATCATCTCACTAGATGCTGAAAAAGCCTTTGACAAAGTCCAACACCCCTTCATGATAAAGGTCTTGGAGAGATCAGGGATAAAAGGAATATACCTAAACATGATGAAGGCAATATTTAGTAAGCCAACATTCAACATCAAACTAAAAGGAGAGAAACTCGATGTGATTTCCTCTAAAATCAGGAACAAGATAAGGCTGTCCACTCTCTCCATATCTCTTCAATATCGTACTTGAAGTTCTAGCTATAGCAGTAAGACAACAAAAGGAGATCAAGGGGATATAAATTGGAAAGGAAGAAGTTAAACTTTCACTATTTGCAGATGATATGATAGTTTACATAAATGACCTGAAGAATTCTACCAGGGAATAAATACTTTCAGCAAAGTAGCAGGATACGAAATTAACTAAAAAGAAAAATCAGTAGCCCTGCTATATACAGTCAATAAATGGGCTGAGCAAGAAATCCGAGAAACATCACCCTTCACAATAGCCATAAACAAAAGAAAATATCTTGGGGTAACTCTAATCAAACAGGTGAAATACCTGTGTAGCAAGAAGTTTGAGTCTGTCAAGAAAGAAATTTAAAAAGACAACAGAAAATGGAAAGATCTCCCATGCTCATGATAGGCAGGATATACATAGTAAAATGTCAACCTTACCAAAAGCAATCTACATATTCAGTGAAATCCCCATCAAAATCCCTGCACAATTCTTCACAGACCTTGAAAGAACAATATTCAACTTTATATGGAAAAAAATCCCAGTATAGTCAAAACAACCCTGTACAATAAAGGAACTTCTGGAGGCATCACCATCCCTAACTTCAAGATATACTATAGATCTATAGTAATGAAAACAGCCTGGTATTGGAAAAAAAAAAACCAAACAAACAGACAGGTAGACCAATGGAATCAAATTGGAAACCCTGATATTGATTCACATACCTATGAACACCTAATTTTTGACAAAGAAGCTAAAGTTATACAATAGAAAAAAAGCATTTTCAACAAATGGTGCTGGCATAACTAGATG